TCCTATAGATTCTTCAAGATCTCTTATTCCTTTCTCTTTGATTATTTTCATATTCTTTTGAAATTTTTCATGTGACATGTTATTCTTATTTCTATTTATTATTCTCATTTGTTCTCTTGATCAATGTTAATTATCCAATAACACCAGAATTTAAAAGAAATCATGAAATACCTACTTGAATAACACTAGAATTTAACATTCCATTAAATTCTACCAATTCACTCGTTCAATACCCTCCCCCTAAGAGAGTAATACTATTATTATTTTCAGAGAGACAAATATTTTATGTGTTTCATATATATTTTTTTCCATTACTCATTGAAATCATATTCTCTCTGTTTTAGATAAATTTTATGTTTCACAAATATTAAATTTTAAAAAATTTTATACAAATTATAGATTAATAAATACTTTCCTATTTTTTTATATCATATCGTTCTTTTTATAATTAGTTAAATTTTTTAAAATGAATATTTTCTAATCTGCATATATTTAATTAAAATATCTTTTATTTTTAAACGAAGCGAATGAGATATTTTTCCGTAGATTATTCCAAGGAACTTACTTAATGCGGTCTGATGAACTGATAGTTGCTAATTGCTTTAAAGCAAACGTATATATATAATTAATTAATTTATTTAGTAAGTAAAAAGAAATAGATGAGTAATAATAGTATAAAGAGTCCTTTCATCATTGCAAAATCAATTGTTAAATCGGAAAAAGCTGTTCTAATCTCGGGAATGGCCCCCCTTTACAATCATGCTCTGAGCGTAATCCTAAATTAATTTTTTTGCATTGGTGATAAAATACCCTTTTGTTTCTTTTAAGAATATACGTGTATTTATTTTATAAGCAGTACAAATATTCTCTTACTTTTAATACATGTTGGTCAGAAGCAGTATGGAAAGAACGAAAATACAGATTGACACATTAAACACCACCCAATAGACTACAAAATCACAATGATTATAAAAGAATAAGATCATAGTTCTATGATAATTAATTACAAAAGGCATTATATGCCTATTTTTTGTTTTGTTTTAATCAACAACATGTATTATATGTATTATGTAAATTAAATATTGGTCATGAATGATGATATATTATATATATCCATAAGATTAATACAAACCATTAGACTATGTTTTATAAACCATTATACTATATTATGTGGATATTTGTTTTGTTTATTTAAATATAAATAGTGTTTTTTGCATTATTAATTTTATATATCTATGATTATTTTAGTTTTTTTTTTGTAGGAAACGGGGACGAGTCCCCCATACAAACTAACTAGTTTTGGGCGCGCAGACCCAATTAAATCATCACTCAAAATCTACGCTACAACCAGCGGAACTAAAATAAACGAATGAAAGCCAAGCGGCAAAGAGAATGATTATTTTAGTTTGTGATTAGTATAATTTAACTCATAATTATAAAATATGTGTGATTGTAATGTAATATGTACAGTTACATATTGGTTGCGTCCAGTTTTTTTCTAATTAACTTTAAAAAAACAATTATTAAGAAATCCGTCTCAAATGGATTTTAAACTATTAAGAAATAATATATTTATAAACTTTTAAAAGAAGTCATAATTTTGAGATTTGCTATGAAAAATATGATTTTAAGTTTCTATGTGAGACTATTTGTTATGAAATTCAATTTTTGTAAATATATACTCCATAATTAAGGATCGTTAAAGACAACTTCACAAACCAAAAGATGAGTGATCAAATACTTTTAACGGAGTATTCTTGAAATACTTAATTAATACGTACCAACCATAAAGGTTATACCATAATATAGTAATACTTTGAGATAGAGTGCACCGCCATTTGAAGGAAACGATGAGAAAAATTGTATACATTTTTTTTTTTTTTTTTTTTTTTTTTCAAAAATTGTATACATGTATAATAGTTATATTGGGTTCTTATGATTAAATATAATTAAGTTAAATTAAAAACTTTCTGCGGCGAATGAGCTGCAAAATCACTTTACGCCTAATTGTGATGAAACGATTCGTTCGTATCCCAATGATTTCAGCTTTCTCTCTTTCCCTTTACGCGTGACTATCCATATACTTGATTATCGTTTTCATATTCATTTATGCTAATACTTTGATATATTTATAATCAATTTGCTTTATTTCGTTAATCGTAGTATATGTTTAACCTTATATATACTCATGACTCATTTGTTGCGAACTTTGGTAAAGATCATTGTTTCGGGTAGAAAAACAAAGGTTTAGTTTTTGTTCTGCTCACCAACGCATTTTTTACGTACCACGATGGAATGCATGATTATTGAATGTTCGAGTACCGCATGATTATTGAATACTACTATTTGAGTTCTTTTTCTACAGCTTGAATATATAAGTTCATATAATATGTGTATGTATATACACGTAAATTTTTAAATATTAGCTACTGTTTTTTAATTACTTTATTTTCTCTAAATTAAAGTAGAACATATATACACGGATAAAACTGGCATAGAAAATAAAAGGAGAAATATATATAGCTGGCCTATGAAATAACGCGAAGTCCTTATAAAACTCCAACGACAAAAAACAAAGATAAGTAAACAAAAAAAATCGTACAATAAAGGGATCGACATTCGTGAAAGAATTGATCGACCACTCTTTCGCTCTCTCTATCACAGAAATAATTAAGGCTTTATGAATCTATGGTTAATATCAAGTATAACACATTGATATTGTAATAATTATAATAAAGAGTTTGGTACATCTCGTTTATCGTGATTAAAAAAAAAAGTTATTAACTATAAGTGGTCGTGACTTGTGCACGATGATAATACATTGATTCATACCTAATAAGCTTTTCTAGTAACCCAACCCATATCCCAAAGTGCTTAATATTCTATATAAAAAGGTGAATCCATTTATTTAGTAATGCCTTGGAGTTCTATTTGTATTCTAGTTTTTCCGGACCAAGGTTCAGGATGAGTTTTAAAATCTGTTCCGATAACGATGAAAAAAACACAATTCTAACCGGTTAAGCTAATAACATTAAATGAGTGTATTTATTTTAATTTATTATTTAAGCATACATACACATATATAGATACATATATATTGGTGAGTGTGTATGTAGATATGCCAAACTCAAAGCTTCCAAAATGTTATGACATGAAAAGAAGAGAAAACTCCATGGAAACCAAGGTTCCATGCACATGGCTTTACATCTCTAATTTTAGGTTTCTTCTTCCCACAATCCCTTTTAGTGGGTTTTGGTGGGATCCTCTATAATATTTTCTTTAATATAATAAAGAAATTTTCTTTTGACAAACTCAAAAACTTAACTCATAGCCACCAATACGAGTCGCTTTTGTTTGATTACTTTGAAAAATGCACTTTACCATTGTGATTACTGATTACAAGTACCAATGAAGAGCAAAAAGATCTTTATCATTCTAGCTAAGTTAGTCACCATCACTTGGCTAGCATAGCTTAGCTAGTTTACAAAAGCTAAAATCGTGTTATTTTCTACTTTATTAAAGAATAAAAGCCTTCCTTAATCATATGCCTAGCTATCACATATTTTATTTTTGATGGGTTCTATTGCCTAATTTAACTTTTGATATGAAACATTACAATCAAAGTAGTTTTGATACTTCTTTAGGTTGAGATTAGGAGTAAACAAGAAGCAAATTTTTATAATTTTTTTCTTCCTATTTAAAGTGTCACGATGTTCATCCCTACGATTAAAATCGCAATTAAAATTTTTAAGCACTGATCTCTTAACTCCAAAATAATTTTTTAAAACTACTAGACTTCCATAAATTAGTTAATTATGAGATTATTAGATCAATAAATCATAGTAGAAAAATATTGATTAGTCCATTGGATTTTATATTGGAAAAATTCCATAAAAGATCATCACGTTTGTTATGAGAGTTTTTATTTTTGAACATTGAAAAACATATTTTTACAAATTGAAGTTCAGAAAACGATTGAAAAAAAACAAGAAAAAATAAATCCAAAAGAGAAATCCATTTTTTTTTCCTTTTTCAAAAAAAGAAAGAAAAGAAAATCATCAATTAGAAAGAAAAAATATATTCAAAACCAACATATTATTTCACAACCAAAAAAGTAACTAATTATGTGAATGAGTGAATGTAATTAACATGTATTGTTGTTTTTGTCAATAACATGTATTATGCAGAACTGAATATGGATGGAAGTAATAACAACTTAAAATGAAAATAGAAACTTGTCTTTAATATAATAATATAGCAGAAAATATATGGATATGTTGTTAGAAATCACATTTTCCGTACCTAAAAATTGAATTTTCATACTATTATTTTAAAAAAATAAAATGAAAAAATGTGGAGATGGCGGGACCAAGAAAATAATAATAGTGGAGAAGCTTAATTGAAGGGAATGGGGTTGATGTGGATTTATTTCATTTGGTTCCACACAACTTCACAGCTTGCCTTCCTCATCCTCTCCACGTGGCCATTCCACGTCATCTTCTTCCCCACGTGGCTTCCTCTCGTTGGTCCCACAAAGAATCAACCTTCTTCAACAATCACCTATCGTTGCTCCCTAATTCCATCACTTCCCTTCTCTAACCAATATTTATTTCTTAATTTCTTTTACTATTATTAGATGTAATAACTAATAAGTAATAGTATCACAACAAAAATGGTCGGTAGAAAATTTGTATTTCCCAATACACCAAAATATTATTACTTCGTCGTCAAGCATTATCACTGTTTATTACTAGTGCTCAACCGTCACAAACCCCATTAGCTTTTTTTTATTAATTAAAATTTTACTACAACTCTAAGCAATCATACTCACAAAATACTCTGTTATTATTATTTAAAACCAAATATCAGAAGCTCATGATTATATTACTATATTATACAAATAAAATATTAAAATAAATATCGTCGAGTGGAAAAATATTCAACGCCACATGGGATCTCTTCTTCTATATAAAGCATTGTAAGTTTGTAACCTCCAAACATACCTTCATTCCAAATTCAAAACCATTTCCAATACAACCTTCATTGATTCTCTCTCTCTCTCTCTACTAAAACCTTCAAATTCTCTTTCTTTCAATAAATCGTTTTAAAAAGAAGAAGAATATCAAGAATGGAGAATATGTTTCGTTTGATGGATCAAGATCAGGATTTAACAACTAACCGGTGCATTTGGGTCAACGGACCGGTCATCGTCGGAGCAGGACCGTCGGGTTTAGCGACTGCGGCTTGTCTCCATGAACAAAACGTTCCTTTCGTTGTTCTTGAGAGAGCAGATTGTATTGCTTCTCTTTGGCAAAAACGTACTTACGATCGTCTCAAGCTTCACCTTCCTAAGCAGTTTTGTCAATTACCGAAAATGCCCTTCCCGGAGGATTTCCCGGAGTACCCTACAAAGCGTCAGTTCATCGACTACCTTGAGTCTTACGCAACCCGGTTCGAGATCAACCCCAAGTTCAACGAGTGTGTTCAGACCGCTCGGTTCGATGAGACCAGTGGTTTGTGGCGAGTCAAGACCGTGTCGAAGAGTGAGTCGACTCAGACCGAGGTCGAGTATATTTGCCGGTGGCTTGTGGTGGCTACAGGAGAAAATGCGGAGAGAGTGATGCCGGAGATTGATGGACTTTCTGAGTTTTCCGGTGAGGTGATTCACGCTTGTGATTACAAGTCCGGCGATAAATTCGCCGGGAAAAAAGTTCTAGTCGTTGGTTGTGGAAACTCTGGCATGGAAGTTTCTCTTGACCTAGCAAACCATTTCGCTAAACCTTCCATGGTCGTGAGAAGCTCCCTTCACGTGATGCCGAGGGAAGTAATGGGTAAATCAACGTTTGAGCTTGCAATGAAGATATTAAGATGGTTTCCTCTATGGTTAGTCGACAAGATATTGTTGGTTTTGAGCTGGATGGTGCTTGGAAACATCGAGAAATACGGTTTGAAACGACCCGAGATGGGTCCAATGGAGCTAAAGAGCGTCAAAGGCAAGACACCGGTGCTTGACATCGGAGCTATAGAGAAGATCCGGTCAGGAAAGATCAACGTGGTTCCAGGGATCAAAAGGTTTAACGGAAACCAAGTTGAACTTGTCAATGGAGAACAACTAGACGTAGACTCAGTTGTTCTAGCTACTGGCTATCGCAGTAACGTCCCATATTGGCTACAAGAGAATGAGTTCTTTGCAAAGAATGGTTTCCCGAAGACAGTAGCTGACAACAATGGTTGGAAAGGAAGGACAGGATTGTATGCGGTTGGGTTTACGAGGAAAGGGCTCTCAGGTGCGTCAATGGACGCGGTTAAGATCGCACAAGACATAGGCTCTGTTTGGAAACTTGAAACAAAACAACCCACGAAACGCTCAAGGGGTTCTCTTCGAAGATGTATCTCTCAACAGTTCTAATTTTTTAGGAAAAAAAGATTAGAGTTTTAGGACAGAGATCGCTGACAAAAGAGAAGAGCCCTCTCCTAAAGACCCAAAGTGAATCAAAGGGTGTTGTGCGTGTTTTTTTGTTACCTCCTCCACTTGTTGTTTTGGGCGTTTTGTGTAAACAGAGGAAGATGTGGCCTTTTGTTTTCTATTTTTTACTATCTTTTTTTACATACTTTTTTAACAATTAATTTTTTGGGGTGGGTTCTTTGATTTTTTTGTACAAGTTTATGTTAACATCTATATTGCATACACTTTTCTATTTTTTTTTGAAGCTAAATATATTTACATTTCAATTACATCTTTCTATAGTCTTGTCCACCTCTCGTACTTTTCCACTTGTTGAATAAAGCATCATGTTTTGGACAGTAGTTTGAATCAAACTTCGATACTTGGATTCATTTGGAGTTGCGGATTCGAGTTCTACTACACTTAATTCTTCGTTGTTGTTTTGGCCCTGTTGAACAAAAACCTTTTTTAGGTGCTTAAGGAATTGCGAAATAAGTATATATAAATGAATGAAAGCATGCGAAATTATACAATGACATAAAACCATACATATATTTTCAAAATTCTTGTGGTGCAAAGGAAAAACTTTGAAAAAATTAATTTCATTGTTAATTTTTTTTGAGAATTTCAAACATATTAACTTTCAGTGTTATTGGAATGAAATTAAACATAAACAAAACTCTCGAGTGATTTTTATGGTCAATTGACAACTCTTTTAAACTCTCGGATAACTGAACTAGCCAACAAACATAGAGCAGAGCAAAATATTCGAAAGCTCACAAAAAAGGTCGTCACAGTTATACACATAATCACTATTTAATCTAATAAAGCTTCATTTTATGATAAAATTTGTGAAATTATAGTATTTTAAACCATTTATCACCCTATATAAATAGGAAAAGGTTAACATAAATATGGATTTAGTTCTTTGAAATTAAGGGCTTCTTCGTTAACTGATATATCTATCAAAATAATTTTCAATTCCGGTGAAATGTATGTTGTTACCGGAAAAAAAAACTTAATTAATGAAAACTTTGTAACGAAATATGTCTAAACAGAAGTTTAAAGATGTTCCTCAAATACATGTGATATCTAGGTGTTTTGTGTGGGTTGGAATTAATTAATTAGGTGATTAAACCTAATTAACAGAGCACATAATTAAATCCCACTTTACATTCGATTTGAGTCATTAATCAAATTATTAGTGTCGTGGTTCATGCATCAATCTTCCGCTTTGCACGGAAACTAAATCGGTACATTCCTTTTAGGTAGTTAATTAGTTCTCTTCGATCCAAGTTTGGACTCAACCTGAAGTCCTGAACCTTACTTGGTGGATCTGATTCGTATTAATATTTGTTGCATCTTATCTAAAATAAAGATTAAATGTAGAGGACTATTCTACGGTTTAACAAAAAAAAATTCCATTCCTTTTGATTATTAAATGACCATTACCAAACCACTTAATCATGGTATATTTTTAAAGAATGTAATTTTTATTTTGTGAACATTTGGAAAACAAAACATAAAAATGATAGTTTATAGAATTTTTACAGTATATTATTAACAAGTTGAAACCACGGAGAAGAAAAAATAATATGTATATATACTGTATAAATGTAATGAATTTCCAAGGGAAAAAACAAGGAGAAAAGTGAATAAATTTTGTAATGACATTAAAACCCACATGTGTTGGGTCCAATGAAGAGATTTAAACTCCATTAATTAAAGAGATCTCACAATGTCACATCAAAATGTAGATCGGCCTATGTCCAACGTCAAAGGATAAAGCCAGCAGTTCAAAACCAATTTCGACCACAGCATTTTGTACATTTATGATTATTATTTTATTATTATAGATATGTAGAATTGATAATAATTCAAATTTCAAAAAAGTTCTTATATATTTCTTGCTGGTATTTGTATAAAGGGAAAATGTATCATATTACATGTATCAGTTCTATTTTAATCTTCCTAATTTTTAATGTATTTAAAAAAATTATGATCGATGAATAACACACACAAAAAAAACGACAAACATTGAGCTAAATAGATTAAAAAAATTCACATATTTTTTTGGCCTTTTATAGTTCAAATTTCATACTATACAATTAATGATACAAACTTGATTTCTTATCAATTTTAAACTACACCTATTTAATTTGATTTGAATTAATAAAAAAATCTCATATAAAATTATCGATACATTTACATAGGTGTTGTGTCATACGCATTAGAATGTCTTCTAGTAGCGTCAAAATCATCTTTTATTGAGGATATATCCATAAAAGAAAAGAATATAGCTAGCTCCATAAATAGTAAATTTTAAGTTCCACCAAAATACTTGAACTGGACATGTCTAATATCTTGGAAGTAGAAGTTTTGATGATTAATTATGACTATATGTACTATAACGCATGCACACCGTGTGAAGTCTATTTCAAAGCCCATGGAGGAGTGATCATCTAGCCTCATGTACCCTCACCGCATGTTACCTATTTAGAAACTACAAGGTGAGATGTTGAATTTGAGTGACCATTATCTTTTTCCTTTCTTCTTTGTTTTTGCCATACTTTTCACTTGTCACCTCACATTCACACTTATTCTCAATCTATTTTCATTACCTTGGCAAAAATCATAGCTTGATAGGCATCATCTTGGATTCTAGTTATGTGTTTTGGTTGTGAATACTTAGCTAGCTAGAAATCTATCACATAGGTAGATATGCGTCGATATACATTCACAGTGCCATTTACTTTTTTTATTTTACGAAATTGCGTAACAAGATTTTATACGACTTTGATTTAAAGTTGTCAATTAGACCAATTTTACGTATCTCGACCAAATCTTTATCGTTTTTCAAATAAAATACGGTCTAATTTGACTATCAGATTAACCAAAAAAAATAAAAACATGGTTATATCCAAAAAAAATTTAATAATTTTTGGATTAAATTTCTAAAAGAAGTTATCTTGAGAGTTGGATTTACGTCTTTTTTGACACATCTACTTTTGATTAATTAGTATATAGGCAGGTATAAATGAGTCAAAATGATTTGAGAGTTGCTTTGAAGATATCAGTGACAAAGAGTAAATGGGTAACACATGCGAATGGTCACAAATTCTCCAATGGAGAAATCACTCATGTTCAAGGGTCCACATTGTTCACCTTACACATTACCAAAGTCTGCAAAAACTAGGGTTTGTTCCTTTCACATGCCTATGTCTGTTAGATGAACTACCTCTTGTGAAAAGAAAAAGAAAAAATATTCCTCTACACTAAACACAAGAAAGAAGAAACCAACAAACACTTGTATTTACCACGCACAATCTTTATAGATTTATTTTTACGTAAGTCAATTTTCCAAGTCCAACGTTAAGGATATATACGGAATCAAATAAATATAGACAATGTATGTTATAAAAGTACTATAGTTTATCAAGTTTTAGTTCGTATACTCAAAAATGTACGTAAAGAAAAATAATTCGAATGTACTGGAATTAATCATTGGGATGGTAAAGTTTCGAATACACTATTGTACCCATATCTCTATATCCCTTTTTATGTACCTGCAACCCCACTCACACATATATATAGTATGGGCATTTTAGTTCCAATCCGGCTCGAGATTCATTCTGATTATGTATAATATTTATAAGGTTTCTAGTAAATAGAAATTTGATATTTTTGTATAAAATAAATTTTCTTACAAGATATTTTTTCTATTAGTAGATTTTGTATAAACAAATACAAACCTTAACTAGCTAGTTTAGTACATTATTTTTGAATGGATAATTTGTGTAGAAGAATTTGAATAAATAGAATGTCCGAAATTCCACATATGTAAATACCTAAAATAGTTAAATGTTTAGATATTTAGACTATTCGTTCGAATAGATTGGATACATATATCTGAATTTTCTAAAGTGTTTGATTTGTGCCAATCTCTAATATGTACTCATATACACATGGATGGACACAGACAACACAAGAAACTTCTACAAGTGAGAGTACTTGACAATTCTTTTAGTCAGTTTTATAAAACAATTGTTTATAATTAAAGTGGGTTATGTTTTGTGTGTGCATGTATATAATATTTAATACATCATCATGTACTTATCAAATATGTGTACATATCTATGTATGTATGTCAATGCAACAAAGATTTGGGCTTATAAATGAATGAAGAAAATGTTGGTGGGATATGGACAAAAACAAATTGAGAAACAATGAAATAATTCGAACCCATGACGTTACAACTAGTCAAAAGTCCCCACATGATCTTATCAAAGGTAGGTCCATGGATGAGTTGTTTTCGATATCACAAAATTTCTTGCGAATTTTGTTATGGCCTTTAAGTGTAAAATGACAAAACTTGCCGAACAAATTATAGACTCAGTGCAATCTAGATATCAATAGTGAGTGATTATGTTAAGTTTTATGGTTTCCAATTCAAAATCAATTGGTAATAAATGGATCGATTTATGTTATTTACATATTATTTTTAGTTTCATGATATTTTTTGATGTGAGATTCGTATCATATTTCCTCAAAATAATTTATCTTTTATCTCATCTTGAATTAAATCCAATATTAGGAGTAGGAGTGATGCTATGATATCATTTGTTTTGAACTCTTATAAAGCCTATTGGGCCCATAACCACGAATTTAACAGAATTGTTTTACGCCCATCAGTAATATTAAAGGCCCATTAAGCACTATAGTGAATCCATCAGAATAAAAAAAATTCAGATTTTTTTTTGTTGGTCACGAAATTTCAGCCATTTTATTTAATAAAAACAAATGGAAAAAAAGAGGACAAGTCACGTCACGAGACAAATTAGCACGCAAAGAAGAGGAAGAAGAAGAAGAAGCTCCAAGAATCTGTCGCAGAAATCGCCATGGCAGTCACAGCATTTAACCCATTGAAACTTGCATCGTCGTCTCTAGATCCGATTCCTTCAATCTCTTCTTCTTCTTCTTCTTCTTCTTCTTATTCATTCTCTTTGATATCTGTCGGATCTTCTTTCAAGAGATGTCTAAAGCAGTCATGTTCTGTTCGAGCCATGTCTTCTTCTTCTTCTTCGGCTGCTTCTTCTTCTTCCTTCGGATCGAGAATGGAAGAGAGCGTGAGGAAAACAGTGACTGAGAACACTGTCGTTGTTTACTCCAAAACTTGGTGCTCGTAGGTTCACTACTCTCTTTGCTTTTCAATTTTTCAGATAATCTAAATTAGGATTGCTTAATTGTAGAATGGGTTTGTTCAATATCCTTGTAAAGTTTCGTTTTTTACATGTGTTTTATTGTTCTTTAGATCTTAATGTTTCTGTTGATAATTTGTTGGTGTTTGGTTGTGTATTGAAGATACTGTACTGAAGTGAAGACATTGTTCAAGAGACTTGGGGTTCAGCCACTGGTTATTGAATTGGATCAACTTGGTATGTTTACATTTCCTTAACCTTTCTATTTTTTTCATAGCTTAGCTTTGATTAATTGATTTGATTCTGATAATACTATGTCATGGCTTTAGATAGATGATGAGGCAATGCTTGTTAGTTGTTTAGAATGCAATTCCTGTTTATCTTTCAAATGGTTTAGTTTTCAGATTCGGACTTTGGGTTTATAAGCTTACATTTTGGGGATTCTTGTTTGCCTTTAGTATTTGTTGTAATCTGCTTTTGTTTCTTGTAAAATCACTAGTCTATACTTATATCATAATGGTGATGTGTCTCTCTTTAAGAACAGTTGAAGATGCAATTATCAAAATACTTGGTGATTTTGGAGAACAGAGAAAAATCGGTTATGTTTCTATCTTAATTCTGTTTGACTAAACTATGTTTGGTTCATTTCAGGTCCACAAGGGCCACAACTGCAGAAGGTACTGGAAAGACTTACTGGGCAACACACTGTTCCTAATGTTTTTGTCGGTAAGTAGTTTAATCCGTTTACATCGATCATATCTTTATGGAATGCTGTTTTCTCTATATCCTGCTTCAAAAGATGAAACCTTTAGATGTCTCAAAGAAGTGAACAACATAGTTTCAGACTTTCAGTTAGTAACAAACACATAACATTGTCTAATCTTTGTCCTAATGATCAGGAGGCAAGCACATTGGTGGCTGCACAGGTACTTTCTCCTTCTCATCTCACCTATTTTGGTTAGATGCCTCAGTTTCTTCTACTTCTCAAATGTGAGTTTTGGATGTTGTTTCACTTCAATAATCGACATAATCTTCTTGTTGTTGTATTACAGATACAGTGAAGCTTAACAGGAAAGGAGATCTGGAAGTGATGTTAGCTGAAGCCAACGGTAAAACTGGTCAGTCTTGAGAAGTTGATGAAACTGGTTCGGAGATTTTGCATATGGAGCTTGGAAAGTTTTCTCATTTTCGTTATTATCATTGTACCTCATTTGAATACAATAATTATAGTTAATAAATATAATCTCTCTTTGTTTTTCACCACTTGAATTCACAGTTTCAACAAGCCTTCATAGTAACCCAAAAATTACCAAAAAAAAAAACAGAGCTCGTAAATAAAGAAGGAAAAAGTGATGCAATGTATTCCAGAAAATCCCAAATGTGAGAGAAGCGTGGCAAGTTTAGGATCACACAGGCCAATAGAGAGAAAAATGATCCAAAAATGAAAAGAGAAGTCGTCATCTTCTGAAACAGGGGAAGTTGCAGAGAATCTAGCGAGACCAATGGCTACTCTGGTCTCGTCTCAAACTTACATCTACCATTGTCATATTAGTAAACAAGCTCTTTATCAGGCAAAAGAATCATACTCTCCTCGTAGATTTTCTCGTCATAATCACAGAGAAAGGCTTGATTTTTCTCCTAGATTGACAATAACTAGAAAGCACCAACCTTTGTCTTTCAACACCGTGTGTTTTGCTGCAGACGAGCCCTCCGAAATCAGGTAAAATTCGACTTTCTTCTAACATTTTAAATTGGGTTTCTTCTTTAGATTTGAATGATTAATGGGTTTAGTCCGGTTCTATCTGTGTTATTGTTGAATCAATTTTGCTCAATGAGATGATGAAAGGTTGAAACTTTGAATGCAAGAATGTTATCTCACAGCTTGTTGCTACCATTGTTTCTGTGAAATGTTACAATTTGGACACTTCAGTGAAGCCCTTTGTTTGTAATGACAGAGCTAAGTTATCTCTGTTTTTGCTTTCAGTGCTGATGCTAGAATCCGTAGTGAGGTTCTGTCTCCCTTCAGATCAGTCCGTATGTTCTTCTACCTCGCCTTCATAGCTAGCGGTTCACTAGGGGGACTAATAGCCACTTCCAGGCTCATCGGTGCCCTGGCGAATCCGGCTAGATCAGGGGAAGTTCTTGAGATCGTTAAGGGTTTGGGAATTGACATTGGTGCTGCTTCTCTCTTTGCGTTCCTCTACTTCAACGAAAACAAGACCAAGAACGCGCAAATGGCTAGGCTCTCGAGGGAAGAGAATCTTGCCAAACTCAAAATGAGGGTCGAAGAGAACAATAAGGTTATCTCGGTAGGTGATCTGAGAGGCATTGCTAGGCTTGTGATCTGCGCTGGTCCTGCGGAGTTTATTGAAGAAGCGTTTAATAGAAGTAAAGAGTTTACACAAGGGCTTGTGGAGAGAGGTGTGGTTGTTGTGGCTTATGCTACGGATGGGAATTCGCCGGTTTTGGAGTTTGATGAGACTGACATTGTGGATGAAGAAATGAGCCAGAGAAGGAAGAGATTGTGGCGGGTGACTCCGGTTTTTGTCCCGGAATGGGAAAAGTAAGAAAGTTTCCTTAAAGATAGTGAAACCCGAGTTGAAAGAATCGAACTTGAAGGTGTTCTTGATCTCTGTTTTTTGCATGAACAGGTGGTTAAATGAGCAGAAGAAGCTTGCCAATGTTTCTTCAGACTCTCCAGTGTAAGTAGTTCCTTGCATTTCATTTTGAAACCGGTTTAAACTGCTCATGCACTGGTTCTTGAGCTGAAAATATGAGTGTTTTTGCGTAAAGACCATCGATTTAAACTCAGTGCCACTGAATTGTTGTTGATTTAGGTATTTGTCACTGCGTTTGGACGGGCGTGTAAGGGCAAGTGGAGTGGGTTATCCTCCATGGCAAGCCTTTGTAGCACAACTTCCACCGGTTAAGGGAATCTGGACCGGTCTTCTTGACGGTATGGATGGTAGAGTGTAAATACTCTAATACTTTAGGGACAAAATGACATGTTTCTAGTCTCATATAAAATTTATCAAATGTATAGTTATGAAAAGATTTTGACTTGAAAATGATCAGTTTCGCTTCTGTAGTCATTTTTATTTGGAAATACGATTTTAAGATCTAACCCAGCGGTGTAGACCAGACCGAGTATTTAGGTGTACCGAGTGAAATATACCGGTTTCGAATTGTTTATTAAAACGGTTAAGAGGCTAACCATGAGTAGAAAGAGACTTTTAACTGAATTTTCCAAACACAGTCTGAAAAAAATAAGAAAACCGGCTCGAGATTCAGATGAGGAGAAATAATTGGTAAACTTTTCGGTACATACGGTTCGGGTCATGTTACAAACGGATAGACCGGTATTGAATACACACAGTTTTTGAATTCTCCCATTTAAGCTGCAACTTCTTCGACCTCGTCCAATGCATAGTTGTTGGTCGATATGTTGGCGTAATTCACTTTCGCGAACCGAACCACAACCGGGTATCGGGTCTTCGGGTCCTGCACATTTTATAATCCGGGTCAAAAAACTATACAAACCGGCATGGTGAAAGATATACACATATGACCGTTAGATAGTTGAATGGAGACTAAATGCGTTACCTGATCAACGGCCACAACTGATCCAACGTTCTTGAACCAATAGGATTCTCTCCTTAGAATCTTGACCTACGAATCCCAACACTCTATATCAGATAAGAAACGACTGATTATGAACAAAATATGTGGTTACAAGTCACGCACACACATAAAACACAATTAGATATGAACCATATGTTATGAACAAAAGATGTTGTGAAATTGTCACTAAGGATACAATTTTTGCATAGTGATTATGATAATTAAAGACTCCTACTAACTAGCTAGTTGTGTGATTGGCAGATTTATTTTGTCATTTCACCATTCTGCAGATTACCAAAAAGAACTTAAATAAAATTCACTCATATACATGAATCCATCGATCACTTAGTAACTTTGGCTAATGGAATTTAAGACTGTTTAGGTTAGCTGACCTTAGACCCTCTCTTAGGGCCAATCGGAGGTGGCTTGGGTTTGGTGGCAGCAGCTCCAGCCGGAGCAGCGGCAGCTGCCGGAGAACCTTCCGATGAAGAGGTTGCTGGAGCCGCATCTTCGGCTGCCCTGACTACGAGCCTAGAACCGGCGTTTCTCATCGGCAAGAAAGACACGGAGTTCCTGGACGACGAAGCGCCGGCGGCCGAGGTGACGTTGGCCGGCAGAACAAACACCGTAGATGCTGTCGTCATCGCCATCTCTGGTTTGTTTATTTTTTCTTTTTCTTACTTTCTTATTGTTATTCCGACACGAAAGAGTGGTTCTTGATTGGTTTTGTTGGTAGTAGTAATATGTTCGTAAGGCTAAGAAAAGAGGAATTGTTTGAGATGTTTTGGGTTAAACGAATCGTTTCCGTCCACTTGAGATCTGCCACGTGTACATCACATATCTGTTCTTAAGGATAATGTGCTGACGTGGTTTTAGGTTACTCTTATTTCAGATTTCCTTTGTTACACACGTTTATGGAATGAAAATTTAAAAATAAAAATGAATAATAAGAGGAAAAAGTAAATATTTAGTGTTTCTTTGCAACATCGACATGTAAAAAATGTTTTGCTTTTTTTCTTTGTTAAAAGGAGATAATTTAAAAACACTTTAATCCATAACCACTCTCATTTTAATTAATCCTAAAATGTAAACCAAAACCTATATTTTAGATGAACCATGTTTCCGCCGGCTTCGTTTCCGAATGAGTTTCGACTCTTGTCGGTCCTGTGTTTCAAAACGTATTCTACCTTGTAATTCTCCTTGGCTTATTCTAATGGTAATCATTCAGTCGAAAAAAAAAAAAAGATGAACCATGTTTTTCATACTCGTAGACAGTAATAATATCAGTCCGCGATTAATTTCTGTGCGTTTTGCAATTACAAAAAATCTGTAATTATGACATTTTGTAGCAATTAAATCGTATTTATTTTGTACTTGTCCACGACAAGAACATATTTTAGTAGTGAATCGTACTTTAATTTTAAAATCTGAAACGTAACCTTTAGTGATTAACAATTTAAATCGTTAGTCACTGAAATGAATAGTCCGTATTGCTCACGTGTATAGGGAGGCTAACCGCCTTGCGGATGGGTTAACAAACTATGCGTTTACGTTACCGCTAGGATTTCATTTGTTTAATTCTAGATTGGATACTCTTAGTTCGATTGTTTTGGAGGATGCTATGGGGTCGGCCCGACCTCGTAATGTTCCCGTGTAGTCAGTTTTATTTTTCTTTTTAATAAATTTGGGGAGACATTGTCTCCCCCTTTCCCACCAAAAAAAAAAAAACTCGCGATCAACCAACGACTGTCAAATAGATAAAGCTTAGTCGTCGTTGTTTACTAGTACTTGCAAAACTAACATGGATATGATATATCATCAAAATAATCACAAACAAAGTCTATAACTTCCACTCTTAAATGTTTTTCTAATTATTTTTCATACAACATTTTCTCTAAATATTTCTTTGCAAATTTCTACCGAAGAGAAATTTTCTCAAATATCTCATAAATTTGTCTTTTCCATTATCTTTTGGTCTTCTTTGCAATTTTTTTTTTAATCATAATCAATGAGTTTTTTCTTATTTCACTACATTTTTAGTTAACTTGAGGTTATATAGCCAAGAACAAGAAATCACAAGTATACTTAGGTAAATAAAGTATATGTTTTTAATTTGTCTTCGATGTGTTTTTCTATTGTTTTCTTTCTTTGGCCAATGTATATGCACATGCGTTTCCTTCTCTTCTTGTAAATGAGATCCTTATTAGCTCTCCTGTTTTAGTTATCCAGCTTAATATCTCCAAGTAGTTCCCCAGCCATAGACACACGCAAAAACTATATTAGCACTTTCTTTTGTTGTATTTTTTGTAACAATAATATGAATGACATAATCGAATGACATTATAGTAAAGCATATTAGTGATCTCTTAACCCGCTAATTTGATTAGATTGTCGACATTTTTTAGTTCATGAACATAAATAATACTTGTGAGACCAGTAGACCACTACATATTCTTAACAGGTTATGAATTGTATTTGTCTACCTTTTATTATAAGGGTTGGTTGGTATTCTATATGTTGACTATTGTAATGAGTGTAATGGTGTACTCACATGAAATGGAACACTATCAGTACAGTCTATTGTCTTACTTGTGTCCATAAACTAATTATTTAGTGCCAACAAATGGCCATGCTGTTTTCTTTCTTCTTCAAAGTATAGTATTCTAGATTTATCCTTATTATATATATACATAGAATCTGAGCCTAATGTATTTGATCTTCGTAATTCAACGGTGTAAAATATTTTAGTTACAAATTTTATATGTAAAATCAATTATTCTATTTGAACTACATGATAAATTGTAACTGAAATTTTATGGCATTAATGTTACCGGTAAAAAAAATTATTAAAATGAAAAATGATGTTCAAGCTTCTACAAGAAACATTACAGACAAAAAAAAAAGAATGAATGGGCTTCTAATCAGAGACTAATGGTTTTTAATTCTGTATATAAAACTTTTATAGTTCTCTCTTTTTATATTCTTTTTGTCATTAGCATTATGAAACATATAAAAAATTGGAGATTACACGTTTGGACAACAGTTATTAAAAAATACATAATCCAACTGGCGTGTTCCCCTACTTATGTGATTGGCTACGCTGTTTGGTGGACCCCACATTGCCAAGTCATCTAAACCTTATAAATTAGTCTCGTAATTTCATCAAAACAAAAAACTAATAACCAATTAACCATTACTAACGAATGATTTAACGTACAATTTTGGTTTTAGTGTGATTTAAATCTACGAAACTGATGATATTTTGATGGTTTAGTTGCTGTACCGGTATCGTGAAGCCCAACAGGAGGGAAGATGATAATGAGAGTGTGCAATCACGTGGAATGCTATGGCTTGTCAAGTTGTCAGTGATTTGGTTTTGCTAAGGGTCCCGTCACTATAAACTAGCTATATTCAAAGGTACACAATGGCCTCAAAGTTAGATTTCTAATCATAAGATATGAAGTGATAAGTACTCTTTATAAATCTTCATGAAAAGACATCCACATTTTTTGTTTGAAGGTTATGTTGGTTTCGAGTTTCAGATTTAGTTCTTAGGTTCCTTTCGGGCTTGTCTTTTAGTGCTTTTGATTATAGTTTGCTTCTCTTTTTTGGGCTTAGTTTTCCGGGGATATTTCTGTGTTCTGCCGGCTTAGTTTCCGAAAGAGTTTCGACTCTTGTCGGCCTAGTGTTCCAAAACCGTATTCTACCTTGTATTCCTCTTTTGTTTAATATAATGAATCATTCAGACGAAAAAAAAAAAAAAAAAAAGACATCCACATTTCATCCTTCTTCTCATAACCATCTTAGTCAAAGTCGTATTTATTTTGTAAATACCAAAAAAAATGTAAAAATCTATTAAAATGAGTAATTTCAAAGATGTAAGTACATTATGTGTAATATCAGTAATGTATTGTGTCAAATTTATTTCTTGGTAGTAAATGGTAAATAGATGATTTGAGTATATTTGATGGATTTAAGAGCTTTATAATCTTGTGGCTGAATAAGATTGTTAAATAGATGTTTTTTTTTCTTTCTATATACATATATCGATTAAGGCCATAAAGTTTTTTACTTTTTTTTTTTCTTTTTTGAAATTGATGAAGACATAATGTTATGGCTCTATGTTTTTATTGCTCCTTTTGTTATCTGTTTTTTTTTATTGACGGATATTAAAGATACATACATTATTTTGGCTGGTCCATTTCAGTTTTTCTTATATTTGGTCCCGATTTGATTTATGTATATAAAACATGTAGAGCCAATAGTAGTGTAGTCGTTATCTTTTTATTACTCGAAGGCTCGAAACCATATAATGATTCTTGTTTAGCGTATCGTCTCTTTTATGGCTGCATAATTTACATGGCTTGCGTATGTGATACACATTATCTTGATCATTTCGATCTCACGACGTTCTTAGTTACATTTAAAAAAGCATGTTAAAGAATTTAGTATACGAAACAATAAATTGTATGGGGAAACCGATATTCATAACCAACGATAGTATGACAACACAGAAATGGATCATCATTCCACATTGCCCACTCGGCCATACACATGAGAAGGACAAGTTATATTTATTTGCTTTCTGTGTATCTAATTAAGTTTTTACTCGTCAGTGGGAAACATATAGTAATTGTATTGTTTGCATTAAAATGCAAATGTATATATAAATATATAAAAATGCCAAAATAAAATGTACTAATATCTACTATAGTAGACTTAGTAGTAATTGTGAAAGTAGCACAAACAAAGGATTTGGTTGTTGTACCATACCAAATTTTCATCAAAGCATTCATTGTGAATGTGAAGTTGGGACGATCTATTCGTGCAACCAAAAATAGAAAGAGATGAAGTATATGATCATAATCTGATTTTCTTGCTTTTAGCACTAATCATTGAAGTTTACGCATCACACATTCACATCTCTTTTCTATTTTCTTTTCTTCACAAAACTTGCGAATATAGTTTTGATACGTCTTTTGCCATCATTCATACATAATATAGTACCAACCAACTACTATAAATCTCTTTTTTTTTGTGTTAAGAACAATTTGTTTTTAAAAAGACTGTTTCTGCCACACTAGTTGGTAGAAAGTATATAAAACTGAAAAACTCAATCTAAAAGTAAATTTCGTTGGCCAGTTTAAGTTAAACATAATATATCTTTGATTAACTAAATATATAAAATTTTGACAATAATACTTGCTTCCACATGTACTGAGAAGTTATTATTATTTTTTTTTTTATGCTAGGAATGATTTGAGTTTTTTATCACCCGACTTATCTTTCAGAATGAATATAATTGTCGAGTAACTTACTAAAAAATTTCTATCAAACGTAAAACATGAATCTAATCTCTAGTTGAACTTTTTACAAAAAACAAATGAATAAATTTGATTTCCCAATGTGGTTTCTTAACAAAATTTCCTTATCTCAAGTTCCAATATTATTAAATTTATATATACAACATATAATAAAAACAAAAGACATAAAAGAAGATATTGCAAACAAAATAAAATTAATAATTGAGAGAACAAAAAAGAGGAAGAAAGAGAGTGGAGAGAGGAGCAGAGCAACTTCCCCCATTTTCTCTTTTGGCTTCCTCTCTCCTTCTCGGTTTGTTTTGTCTCTACTCTGAGAGATTCCGTCACAAAAAAGACTCATTTTTTCTTAAAACCCATTTCGTGAGAGAGGGAGATTTGGCTTACTTCATCTCCGGCGGGCATCTTCTCCGGCGGATTTTCCGATGTATCTACTCTAGCTAGCTCAGCTCAGCTCCTAACATTTACAGGTCTCTCTCTTCTCTTCCCCCGAGTAAAAAAAAAAAGCAACATTTAAGCTCTGATCTCACTTTCCGATGCTTTTTTCTTTTTACCCATTTTCTCGTTTCGATTTCTTGTTTGCTTTTCCCTGTTCTTACTTCAATTAGATTCTGATTTCTGATCCTTTACCTCTCTCTCTCTCTCTGCACCGATTAGCTTCTTTTTCTGCTCTTGCTTTACTGTTTCTTTCCAATTGTGATTAAATGAGCTTATTTGGCTAGATTGCTTTACTCTTCTGTTTGTCAATTTGCTTGTTTTTGTTAAAGATGTAACATTTATTACTAAAGGTTACTTCTTTTTGGGAGATTACTAGAGAGTTCTATCACTGATACTGGAATTTGGTTTATGCAGATCCACAGTGCCTGAGGATTGTTTCTTCTATCATCATTCTCGGAATTTTGTTGGAGGGTCTAATTATAAAGGGTGAGTCAAGTTTTGATTTGTAATTTTCACAAGGGGTTTGTTTGTGTTTAGAGCTTAAAAAAGTGACTGGCTTTGATTGTGATAGGTCATGTGTAAATGGTTACTGGGTTCATCTTATCTTTTGTTCAGACACTATCAAGTGTCCTTCTGATTACAGAATCTTATTCTTCTTCTTCTTCTTTTTTCTTTTCTAACCAAGTTCTTGTTTTGTTATGCTTGGCATGTTCCTCTTTGCTCTTATAAATATTCTGTTCTTTCTATTCACTTCACTTTTCCTGGATATTTTTAAATTTTGAAGCTTTGAGAACTTGAAGGTTTCTTCATTAGTAATCTTTGTTTGTTAGTTTTGTGTCACCTAAATTAAAGTCCGGCTTTTAGCCAGTCTTTGGATTTTCACCTTCAAAGACGATTATTGTCTTTCATGCCAGTTTTTTTCATGGTTATCTGCTTACATGCTAAGTGCCGTTTGTTTCTGATGGGCTATAAACATCCTAGATAGTAACTACATAGCTGTGAAATTGCAGGGACCAGAATGAATGAACTCCGAGGCAGAAAGGCTCAAAAGATTGAAAGTCCAGTTCCAGGATGCTTAGGGAAGATGGTAAACCTATTTGATCTTGGAACAGCTGTTAATGGGAACAAGTTGCTTACAGATAAACCACATCTTCATGGTAATGACTATTTCCTTTCTGTGACTTGTTCACTAGTCAAGCTTTCTGTTTATTCTTACTGTCAAAGTCCCTATGCAAGTCTGCTTACTTATGTTCCTGCACCAAGTTTTATACCCTAGTATCCTTTACCTATCTCTATCTGAGTTTTGTATTCACCTGTCTGTTATTGACACGAGGTAGTTTTTTTGCAGGATCTTCTCTGTCAAGAAGTCGATCTGATGTGACTCGAATGCCAAGCCCTTCTTATAAAGGCCATTCAGAAGCTGAATTGGTAAGTTTGGTTAAATTATTAGAAATATTATGCATGCCAGCAATAGAAAATTCAGATAGTTTGTCTTTATTTGCACCACTTGATGTTTGATCTTATGGTCACGGCATCTGAAGTCTATTGCCTGCTCTGTTTGCACAGATTATGTCTGATTTGAGGAGAAGTGCTTCTAGCAAAGTAACTGGTACACCGATGAAGAAACTCATTGCTCGAGAAATGTCAAAAGAAGTAGAACATAAACAGAGCCCAACTAATGTGGTTGCTAAGTTGATGGGTTTGGAAACACTTCCCCAGACATATCCTGAGACGGCTACACAGCGAAGCAAATCCAGAAGCAATTCACACTCTTCTCTGAATCATTCGGTGACTTCTATAGATAATGAGGTCCAAAAGTATCAGGAGTTCAGTAGGGAATTTAAAGATGTGTATGAAACGTGGCAGTCGCCTCAGAAAATGAGTCGGTCAAGGGATAGCTCGCCTAGAAAAGGAAGATATGATGAAAGTACGACTGAAAAACAAATGGCTCTTGTTCGTCAAAAGTTCTCAGAAGCAAAACGCCTTGTAACAGATGACAATCTTCACCAATCCAAAGAGTTCCAAGATGCACTTGAAGTTTTAAGCTCCAACAAGGATTTATTTGTTCAATTTCTCCAGGAATCAAATTCATTCTCTCAGCAGAATCTTTCTGACTTTCACCATGTTCCTCCTCATTCAGAGGCGAAGCGAATCACAGTATTGAGACCTTCAAAGGCTGTTGAAACTGAAAAATTTGTGGTTCAAGGCAGGAAGAACAAGCAGGTTAAGAAATTGGCTTCATCAAGTCAAGAAACTGGATGGGGGAACCGTGATCTGGGTTACCCGTCATCTTATGTCAACCGGGGAACCGAGGACCACACTGTACAGCCAACCCGAATTGTCGTCTTGAAGCCTAGTCTAGGAAAATCTCTAGATATTAAGGCTGTTTCTTCATCCCAATCCTCTCCAAGGGGTTTACACGGTGGGGGATATTTTGATGAGCCTGGAGATGTTGAGACTAAAGAAGTTGCAAAGGAAATCACTCGTCAAGTGCGCGAAAATTTAATGGGTCACCACAGGAACGAGACTCAGTCTTCTTCTGTCCTATCCAATGGTTATATCGGTGATGACAGTTCTTTTAACAAGTCTGATAACGAAGATCTAGTGGGAAATCTTAGCGACTCTGAGATCATGTCACCAGCATCTAGGCATTCTTGGGACTGTCCAAATAGGTTTGAAAGTCTTTTCTCTCCTTCCTCTTTCAGCAGAGCTTCATTTTCTCCAGAGTCGTCTGTCTGCAGAGAGGCGAAGAAGCGACTTTCTGAAAGATGGGCGTTGATGTCAGTAACGGGAAGAACTCAACCGCTTAAACATGTTTCAAGAACCTCAAGCACCTTAGGGGAAATGCTTGCACTAACAGAGACCAAAGTGACAACTGAATCCGAGGAAGGGAGCAATGAAATAGCACCAGCCACGAGGGTATCAACATCATGCATAACTAGTGATCTGAGTCAAGTGGAAATGGCAAGTGATTCTCTGAATATTCTTGCAAGGTCAAAATCAGTCTCTGACGTTAGACTCAACGGAGAAACATCTGTTTTGGGAACTTCCAAAGCACAGGCTTCACGAGAGTTGACTAAGACGGGAAGCCTGAAATCGTCATGGAAAGTCTCGAATTTGTTCTTCTTTAAGAATAATAAAGCAAGCAAGGAGAAAAAAGGTGCATCTCAATGCAGCAGTATGTCTCATTTAGCAACGCCTTCTCCTGCAACTCTTACCGGACAAACCAGCGAAGGTTGTTTGTTTCCTAGAGATTGTCTCCCTCCTGATGCATCAGAACAACAAAGCATAATCCCAGGCGAGGTATCCCACCAATTCTGTAAACCTTTTTCAATCTATTCAAGGAGGATGAATATTCATGTTGAATCAGCAGCCATTTTGATCCATTTGCAGGAGGAAGTGACTACACCGAAGCCCCTAGCAACTGGGAATTCAAGTGAAAACCAGGACCAGCCGAGTCCAATTTCGGTTTTGTTTCCACCATTTGAAGAGGAAGGTGTCAGTATTCCAGAATGTTCTGGGTCAACCAAGCATTGGACATCTCAAGGTTAGTTCTCTGGTTGCTTAGCTTTTTCAGAGAGTTTTGTTACTTAGCTTTCCTTTTATGCTAATCCAAATGTTCCATTCTCAACAGGAGAGGAAGTGGCTTTTAAATCTAATCTAATCGACAAATCACCACCAATCGGGTCAATTGCTCGGATCCTCTCATGGGATGATGACTCTTGCACAGAAAACATGTCTAAACCTACAATGGGAGTCCATGAGGATGAAGACTGGTATCTTTTCATAGAAACGATCTTGACAGCTGCTGGTTTCAGCAGTGGTTGCACGGTTTCTCATGACCCCCTCATGTCACGATGGCACTTGCCAAACAGTCCCTTAGACTCTTCACTCAGAGACAAATACACCAACCCAGATAACAACAACATCAAGGAGTTCATCCACGAAGGCAAACGCAGACAACAGCGATCAACTCGTAAGCTCATTTTCGACCGCATCAACTCCATCATTTTAGAAACAACGACTACGCTCCGGGGCAATGGTTCTCCGCATTTCGACCTGGTGGAGCATGTGTGGGCCCACTTAAAGGACTGGGTTTTAGATGAGCCTAGCAAGCGTGACTCAGGAGAGGACATGGATGCCAACAGTTTGGCTGCAGAGAGTCTTGTGAAGGACGAGATAGTCGGGAGGACATGGACTCATAGCTTGCAAGTTGAAATAGACGACTTTGGGATTGAAATTGAAAAGAGATTGTTGCAAGAGCTAGTAGAGGAAGCCGTTATCGATCTTACTCGATGAGATGAGACAAGAGCAACAATATATACTACGTTGAATAAAAATGTAAGATAGTGTTAAGTTTATTTTTTTGTCTATGGGAAGATTTGTGTCTCGATTTTTTTGTAATGATTGAGAGAGAAAACAAAATGCTGTGTAGCCATTGTTGAAGCAGAGCAATAAGCAGTTGTTCCCATTTTAACCACATCTCGTTACTCTTTTGTACACAGACACACCGAAATGAAAGCTATGTTGCGATCTAAACAGAGTTTCAAAAAAAGCATCAAACGATAACATAGTTGTGTAATATCTATGCACACTTGAAAGTTGAGAGAGAGATGAACAAAACCAAAGTACTGATTCTAGACACCGTTGGAACTCAGTCTTTTGAGTTAAGCTGATGGATTCTGGCTCTGACCGTTGATCAATCCGTACTGTAGAAGAACAAGAATATAAAGACAATCAATCACAAGCTTAAATCTTTGGTAGTAAGTTCAAACGACCAAGACACTTAGTTTCTTACCTTCTCTCTGATTCGGGACCTCCAATTGTCAATATTGCTTGATCCAGAAGATGTCTGGTTAGCCTGTGGACCAAGAAGATTCTCTCTTGCTCTACTCATCGGATTCTCAAAATCATCCTCATCATCAAGCTCTGATTGCCGGGGTGAAACCATAGCTCTCAAAACCAAAGCCAGTAGCAATGACAGTAACTAAAACACCAACTCACATATGAATACAAACATAAAATAGTCTAAAAGAATCATGAATTAACTCAAAGGCAAGAACTCAGTTTGTTACCTGGATCGCTACCACAACAATCCCGACCCATTTGCAAATATCGATGTTTTCTTCAATGAAAGCTCGAAGGCTGTTGAGTTCTCCAGTTGGATCATAAGGAAGATCCTATAGAAACACAAGTATAGACCGTTAAACAAACACACAAGATACAAGCTTAAAATGTAAAAAAAAACCTCACCTTTTCCCAGTGACGGTCAATCGCTATGTATCCCACAAGAGCTGCTTCGAGTATGATCAGAAGAGTTTTGAGAATTGAATACTAAGACCTTTATCAAGGATTAAACATCACAACTAAATAACACTATTAACAGAAAACACATAATATATAAAAGGATACGAAACACAAGCAACATCCATTGATAGCTTCAGCTGCAATGAAACCGATGATAGTGACAATGCAGACCAAAATCCCAATGGCCATGAAAGAGTAGATAAACCTGCATTGAATTAAAAACCAAACCAAATCAAATTCATTGGAACATTCTCCTTCAAGCATAAAACAGTGTCTTAGCTTAATCCCCAATGTAACACCAAAAATCATCATCAAGCATTCTAAAGCTATGTCCTTTTTAAACAAGATTAGTCAATTAGGCACAGATTTGAATTGAAAACCCTAAAAATGGAAACTTTTATAATACCATGGAGCAGGAAGATCTAAAGAACGGAGATTGAAACCCGAGTCTCCGAGAACGATACCCGATACGAGATTGATCGGATTCTTCAAAGAATCAGAAACACTGTTGATCTCAATTCTTGAATAAGAAGAAGAATCCGGAGATGAAGCCGCCGGAGGCTGAGACGGAGGAGGATCAACGGGAACGTGATGATTATATTGATCGAGCATCCAAATCGAGTAGATTATGATAGAGATACCGATGAAAGCTTGGAGAAAATTGAGGATCTTGAGAATGGAAGCGAACGAGACATGGCAACAATTGTGTCGCATTTTTTCTAACGATATCGGAGAAGATGAGCAAAAACGAAATCAAAATTTCTGATCAGCGATCTCCGAAGAAAGAGTATTTTGATGATTTCGGACAAAAGAGAAAAAAGCTGTTTTGACAGATAGGATAGAATCCGAAGCTTACTAATTAATCTTCTTTAATGTTTCTATCAATATTATTATTATTTTAACTAATATTAACAGTTTAATGTTTCAATCAATATTATTATCTTTTCCTCTTGCAATTGATATGGTTGATGAGGCCAAACAAACTAAATGGGCTATATATGATAAATGGGCTTCTGAAGTTCAAGTTCTACTACAGATGGGGACTGTTTGCGACATTCAAGAGTTCAAGTGATGTAAAAGGTACAGCTCATGATGATTGTATTGTGATGATGATGATGATGATGATGATGAGAATTAAGTATGCATGTGAATGTTAGATGACTGAAAAAGATAGACAACCACTTATATAACTAACCAACAACATTTTAGGCTTTCCTCTTTCTCTCTCTATTTTTATTTATTGATTTGAGTACACTAGTGTTTAAATCTGTCACTTTAATTGGACGGCCTAGCATTCTTCGATTCCTCGATAATGTTTTTTCCAGTAAAACTATATTCAGAGACGTCATTTTGTCATGTGTATTTCTTCCCCATGTATATTTAGGTGATTACTTCAAACCAAGGAAATCTTGAGTTCACACCCGGACTAACTGAGTATGGAAGACTCGAAATTTGGACTATGTCCACAAAGAAAACTCGGTACCACTACACTAAAACATTAAAATTTTGTTGAACTAATTATATATAGGATATTCAATTTGTTTTATAAAGTGTGTGGTTTTAGGCTAACGTTTTTGCATCAAAAGGAACATTGTTTTATGATTTCAATGTAACTTTTAGAAGGGTATATCTATTTAGTCCATAATAAAAAACATAACAAAGTTGTAAGGTATTACAGATATTTAAAGTCAACATATTTTGTAAGACATAAAAATATCATACCTTTTTAGTATGCTGAAACATGTCAAAACAAAATTTATAAGAATCAAAATGGATTATCAATCTTTAATTTATAAAATTAATTTAGAAATTAGAAGTTTATAAGACTATCAATTAAGTTGACCAAAGTATACGTTTTCAATTAATTTTAAATTAAAGAATAACGCAGCGTAATCAATTGGATAATCTATGCATGATGGATAATACTAAATAAAAAATCTTTGCTTAATTAATTAAAAATTAATGAGTACGCACGCCCAATCTAAAAATTCTCATATATATGTTACATGGCATCCATCAGAAAATCAACATAATCAAAAATTATAAACCAAAACCAAAACAAAGAAAAACTAAAGAAAATGGCAAGGCCATCGTGTTCTTCTACTTTGAAAAATGTATGTGAAGACAACAAAACATCTTTGTGGAAGATAAGGAAGATCATAACAGAGAAAAGTGATGGTTGGTTGGACTTTGATAATAACAACGATATTGAGAATCATATTTTGAGAAGTTTGGGCGAATCCATTGGTAGAGTGAAAAAAGACCCTATAGAGATCAAGATCGACGATTACGATACAGGGAGCCAGTACGAGGTAACCTTAGGGTATAATCATAAATCTGATATATATTACATTGGAGCATTATGGAGATTGAAGGAGCTTGCTGTTGGAGATGAAATAGGATTGTTTTACGATCCTATTTCAAAGAACTTGTGTTTCTCTGTGTTGAAACAAGCAAAACCCTGCTCTATCAAAAAAAAGAAACAAGCAAAACCCTGATGATCACAACTTGTTTAATAAGGGCTAATTATATAGCATATTGTTTGAAGTTAAGGACATAAAAATATGTCTGGACGATAATAATGCATATCATTTCTATATATAAATAAATATACGTCCGACAATACTTATTAGTTTTTGCATTTCACATTTTCCCCCTCTTAATTATAACAGCTTGTTTCTCACAATTAGATCGACCGACGACATACTCTAACATTTATTACATACACCAAAAGAAAATGCAAATCATTAATTCATTTTTCCATAGTGTTATATAACAAACAAGAGACTTGCCGTAGGAGCGGGAGACTAATCTTTTCTTTAACTTTTCATATTATTACAAAAAAACGCCAAAAGCTTTCGCTTTAGATCATGTCCAGATTTCTCCTAGCATGGATTTTTATGTCCGCCGCGTTATGGCTAATTCTTATGCCGCAACAAACAAACGCGGCTCGAGCGTTCTTTGTGTTTGGCGACTCACTCGTGGACAGTGGTAATAACAATTACTTAGTCACCACCGCTCGTGCCGATTCTCCGCCGTATGGAATCGATTATCCGACCGGTCGACCAACTGGTCGTTTCTCCAACGGCTTGAACCTCCCTGACATCATCAGTACGACACCGTTTTCAGTTATAATTCTATAATTTTATTTAAATATCTTTTGGTGATTTTGCTTGGGGTTTTTTTTAGGTGAACAAATTGGATCTGAGCCTACATTACCAATTCTTAGCCCTGAGCTCACCGGAGAGAAGCTATTGATCGGAGCTAACTTTGCCTCTGCCGGTATTGGAATACTCAACGATACTGGCGTTCAATTTGTAAGTCTTTGTTATCTCGCTTAATTTTTAAAAATTTGATTAAACTCCTAATTAAACAAAATTTTCATTTTTGAATATATTTTTGAGTTTATTGTCACTATTAAGACAAAAATAAACTAAACTATTTTGGATTCCAGTCTAATCCTAATCTTTGTTTTTTTGGTGTGGATAATTTATTGCAGTTGAACATTCTTAGGATCGGAAGGCAATTCGAGCTGTTCCAAGAGTATCAAGAAAGAGTGAGTGAGATTATAGGTTCAGACAAAACACAACAGCTTGTAAACGGGGCTCTTGTCCTCATGACTCTCGGTGGCAACGATTTCGTCAACAACTACTTCTTTCCCATCTCTTCTAGAAGACGCCAATCATCTCTCGGAGAGTTTAGCCAGCTTCTCATCTCAGAATACAAGAAAATCCTAACGGTATACACATAATTTCTTAGGTTACACGTTAGGTTTATAGGGTTTTGACTCTTATTCTGGGATACAGAGGCTGTATGAGTTGGGAGCGAGGAGGGTTATGGTGACGGGAACAGGACCGTTGGGTTGCGTACCAGCCGAGCTTGCCTCATCCGGAAGTGTGAATGGAGAATGTGCACCCGAGGCTCAACAGGCTGCAGCAATATTCAATCCGCTTTTGGTTCAAATGCTTCAAGGACTTAACCGTGAGATTGGTTCTGATGTTTTCATTGGGGCTAATGCCTTTAATACAAATGCGGATTTCATCAACAATCCCCAAAGATTTGGTGAGTACTCCTAATTGGTATATTTGTGTCATGACTCATTTTTGGACCTAATTTGATACATTTTCCTAGGTTTTGTGACTTCAAAGGTAGCATGTTGTGGACAAGGCGCATACAACGGGCAAGGCGTTTGTACCCCGTTGTCGACCTTATGCCCTGACCGCAATGCCTATGCTTTCTGGGACCCTTTCCACCCAACCGAGAAAGCCACTCGACTCATCGTCCAACAAATCATGACTGGTTCCGTTGAATACATGAACCCCATGAACCTTAGTACCATCATGGCTTTAGACTCCAGAATATAATCAAGGAAGTAATCTTTTTTCAGAATATGTTATGTGACACAATGTTAGCTGATATGCAAGTGTCATTTCGGTATCTCTACTTAATTTTGGCATTTTTCATACCGGCTTTAGATACTAATCAATTATCATTATTGTATGTTGTTTATCTTTTACAAATTTTCCATATATAACAAAAAATCAGTGAACCTGGCAAACAATGGTAAGGTACTGAGGATTGTTTTTGTTATCAAATCTCTCTTCCTCTAAATTAGGGATTTCTTAATTTCTCTCTAATGGTATGGAGAGTTCTGTCTCAGCTCTGTTTTTTTTTTGTTCTGTTATGTTTCAATTTTGTGATTGCCTCGTCACTTTACGAAGGCTTTATACAACTTTGTCAATTTTTAGATCCGTAATAAGATGAACGGATCAACTTTGCCATTCATCTTTCTCTAAAAATCCTTTGCATATCAGTTGAAGTGTTACTAAGCTATGAGCCTATATAATGTAAGCCGTAAGGTTTTTTTTTTTTTTTGGTGCTAATTAAATATAAGTTCTTTCTCTCTGGGCCGGAAGTGTGTCTCCTCTCCATGCTATGACGTATTCAGTATTCATAATGACATCATCACTCTTAGCATCAGCTCTTTTGTCACTATTTACCTCTTCCCCATTTTGGTCGCTTTGATGGCTCCACGTGAACATACATATAGGAGCAAGGAAGCTAATATACAAAGATTATTTCCAAGACAATGATGAAATTTTTGTGACGACCTTAGATTTTTTTTTCTCTACCTACCGACTACAAACAATATCAATAAACATTTAGATATCAATTCTGCATTGTCTTTTCCAAAAAAATGAAAATTCATACATATCTACTATCCTTTTCAAATAAATCGAAAAAACGATATCTAAATGTTTTTTAAATATTGTACTTCGTTTTATTAGATAGTGAGAATGTCCTACATTAGAAATTGAGATATTTTTACACTAATATATAAAGTTTTGAGTTGAAAGCACATGATTTCCTAATACGTTTATAGAGAATTGCGTAATCAAAAACTAAGAGGGAGTTGTTATTTCTTATAAAGTCAATACAAAATTCTCATTCTTCTCTTTGTATGTTTTTGTTTAGATAAAAATAGATTTCTAGTTTGCTCGTACATTTTGTCCCATGTATGTACGACATAAGACGAGAATAACAACAAAAAAAGCCTTCGTACATGGAGAATGATGACGTCACTGGGAATACTAAAAACATCAATAGCGCTCACTTCCGGTTTTGGGAGAAAGAGAGAGCTTATCTTAGCACAAAATTCGAAAAGAAAAAGAAATCAGTAGAAGAAACAACGAATCTGATCCATCACTATAAGCCAAAACACAATTTTACAACATTATAGTTTGTGCTGCTTGTTTTTTTTGAGCTTTCTATTATGGCTAAACAAGAGTAACCGCGATAACATATGTCTTATTTTCTCTTTCTTTTAACAATTCACAAAACAAAAAAGTCTGATGAAAATGTATGATTATTCACATGTGTTTCTGGGCGACTTCTCTAAGAATTTTTGTTTCTTTTTGTCTCTAAGGGATGAATCATTTTTGTTCCCGATTTGGAAGCCGACGATGATTATATCATTCCTCATTCTTCTACTTCTATTTCTTCCTCCTCCTTGATCTCCTCCCCGAAAAAATCTATCGATCATGTTCGAGTTTTTTTCTTCTCTTACTTGCAAGTTTTTTCTGCAGTTTCATGATTAGGGTTTTTGGTTTTGGTTTGAAACTAGGGGTGAAGATGATATCATGGAGATCTTATGGAAGAGCCGCCAAGTTGTGCGAACCAGCCAGACACAGAGACCCTCTCCACCTCCCATTCTCCGCGGCAGCGGAAGCGGAAGTGGAAGCGGGGGCGGAGAAGAAAATGCTCTGCTTCCCCTGCCTCTTCCCCAGCCTCCGCCTCCACTTCCCCTGCATCCGTCTCATCAGGAAGAAGAAATGGTGTCTTGGCTTCACCATCATCTCCGCCAGGATTATGTCTGCTCCAAAATTATCTACTCCATTCCCGCTACTAACCCGCAAAGTTCCTTCTCCCTGGAACCACCACCACTACCCCCCAGTGCTCCCTATATTCTGCCGGCGGCGAGACCCACAGGTCAGCTTCGTGGCGTACAGGGAACTGAAGAAGCTCGTGGTTCAACGTCTAGGAAGAGGTCACGAGCTGCAGAAATGCATAACCTCGCCGAAAGGGTTCTTATATTTCCCTTGGAGTTTCAAGATTCTGAGTTTCAACAATGGACTCTCTGTTTCATCTCATTAAAACGTAGTTTTGTTTGTCAAACTTGTTTTTGTTTAACAGAGAAGGAGAGAAAAGATCAACGAGAAGATGAAGACTCTGCAAGAACTCATTCCTCACTGCAACAAGGTCTCTCACAATTTCTTATAACTTGTTGTTATTAAACTTAAGCTTGATTCTGATTCTGTTTCTACTCTGATCAGTCTACTAAAGTTTCAACTCTGGATGCTGCTATCGAGTACGTCAAATCGCTACAGAGCCAAATACAAGTATGCTCTTAAAACCAGAATGTTTTAAACCAATGGTTCAACATGGAAACAGTTCAGATGTATTAGTTTTGTTGAGGTTACTAGGGTTATTTTTGGTCTCTATCAACCAGCGTCTCCGCAGGTTTTGGTTCCTAAACAGTTTATGTTTGATATCCGCAGATTCATCTCCTTTGATGGGTTATAAAGTTTCTTGGGAGATAGATGCAAATCTTATAAGTCTCTACTTCGAAACGCTGGTACCTCGTTTAGATGGATGGCCTAATAGCTGGTTCCTCTTATTATGCCCTGTTATTGAGGTCTTACTTGCTTCCCCAGTGTATAGGATTATCCTGAAGGACATTAAGGTCCTGACTGAGATTTTAATATCTGAACGATGTTGTTATGCCAGATGATCTCGATGGGACAAGGTATGATGCCTTCGATGATGAATGAGGGGAATATGCAAGAGTTCATGCCCCACATGGCCATGAAGATGATGGGTAGCCCGGCTCAAATAGCGGGTGTAGGTCCATCTCCAGCATATCCAGCACCGCGCTACCCTTTTCCCAACATTCAGACCTTTGACCCATCCAGAGTCCGTTTACCAAGTCCGGTGGTTAACCAGCCTCAGTTTCCGGCTTACATGAATCCCTATAGCCAGTTTGTTGGTCACCACCAGATGCAGCAACCTCCTCCTCCATTGCAGGTAATTCTTTCCCAGTATGCTGCATTGTGCTTATTCCTCTGTTCCTACGCATGCTTACAAGATCTCTTCTAAAAAATGTTCTTATAGAGTCAAACAACACCACAGCTGAGTTCCGGCCAGGCAAGTAGTAGCAAGGAACCTGAGGATAAGGACAGCCAACCAAAAGGTAAGTAGGAATCGGGGAACAAAGGGTTTTCTTGCGAGATAAGTTAATGGTCAAGATACTGACAGATGCAACTCCATTGTGTCGTTGCAGGTTGATGCGTGGAGCTAAAAAGGATCAGTTCTCCAAGCAAATCATAATGATAGCCAGAGAGCTAACATGTAGATTTTGTCTGTTAAAGGTTATAAAGTAAGTACCTTTATAGTTCTATTTTCCTGTTTCTGTAAATATCAGAATCTGGAATCTAGATGGCCAATTTACACAAGTTGCAAGGTGGACCAGAGACCAATTAAAAACACAATGACTTAGCAATAGTACATTACCATCCTCGTCTTATGTTACAAATGTAAACCACTATAGGCCAATACAACATTATAAAAACTAAAAACTAGTTTTCGAATTCGAAAATCATCGAGTGTTTTTTTCTGCTCTATGGGTAAACAACATAAACCAGGACGACATATGTGTTTATGTCTATGTCTCGGTAAAACAAACGATATGGTAAGGAAGGATTAGTTTCTCTCCGATATCTCTCAGCCAAATGTTTTTTCTTTCAAATCAAATGTTGTTTTCAAATGTGTGTTTAGATATGGTAATATTTTTTTTTTGGTAAGGTGTTTAGATGGTAATACTAATCTCACAGTAGCGACAACAACAAACAAACGGAAACATCTAAACAAGAAAAATCAAACGCATGCATCAGCAAAACCAAAAATTTAAACACGAACACAAACACTACTAAAGCCAAACGCAGACGCTCAAAACCTTTTTTTTTTTTAAATTGAAACGCTCAAAACTTTCACAAACGCTCAAGTAACATCTCCTCACGTGACTCTTTTTCATGGTATATTGGAGAACGTTGCCTATGACAGGTTTGATGTGACAGCTGTATGGATGACGATGAGGATATATTTACGTTAAAAAAATATTATTAAAAAAATGTAAGAATAAGAAATATTTTTGGCTCAAAATATTCCGCGTCACAGAAATATGTAAAAGAAAGTCGAAGAGTTTGAGCCAAAAAAATAAGACGTTGCAGAGCCAATATGTAAATGTTTATTGATATTGTCATACGTAAGAAGAAGATGGTATGTTTTTTAACGTCGGTACAAAAATCTCATTTTGTTCTCTTTGGATGTTTTTGTTTATAATAAAAAATACTAGCTTCCATATATAAGTCCATATGGAGCAAGAGAACAAAGTGACAAAAAGAGTCGACGTGAAGAGTAATGACATCATTGTGAATAGTGAAAACGTCATTGTATGCACATAGACACACTTCCGGGTGTGAGAGAGAGCTTATCCTATGCTCCTAAAATAGACATTCTAAAGCACACAATTTAATCGGTAAAAAAGAAAAGAAAAAATAGCGACTCAACGAATCTGACTCAAAAAGTTACAAACTCAGTTCCAGTGGCGGAGCTAGGACGAACTTTCATTGGGGTCAAAATTATACAAAACAAAAAAAACATTGAAATTTTTTAAAAAGTTTACATGGCATTAATTATCGTATTATGTATTTGGGTTTAATCTAAAGGACCAAATCTTTTTGTAGCTAGAAAAATGTGGGTTTTCTGTCTTTTTTTTTAAGTAAACATGAGTTGAAATCAAATTTATAGGGGTCAATGTTAAATTTTCAGTGGGGTCAATGTTACAATTTCTTAAAATACATAAAAGGATAATTAAATTTTGTTGGGGTCAGTTGACCCCCCTCCACTACACTTGCCTCCGCCACTGCTCAGTTCACTAATTGGTTTCTTGGAGCTTTCTAGGGTATATTGGAGACAAAAAATTCTCTTTTTCTTTCTTTTTAACAATTCACAACAAATAAAAAACTACTTTTTCATGATAAAAGGTAACAACAATTCACAACATGTGTTTGGTTTCTCTCATAGATTTGGTTCTTTTTGTCTGATCAAGATATAAATAATTTCTGTTCCCGACTTCGAAACCAACGATGATTATATCATCCCACATTCTTCTTCTTCTACTTTTTCCTCCTCCTTGATCTCATTTCCCTAGAAAATCCATACATCATGTAAGTTCCTTTGCGATTCTTTTCTCTTACTTGCAAGTTTTGTCTGCACAGTTTGATGATTAGGGTTTGGGTTTGGTTTGAAACTAGGGGGGAAGATGATATTGTGGAGCTCTTATGGAAGAGTGGCCGAGTCGTTCAAAGCAGCCAGACACAGAGACCTTCTTCCGATCCTCCTCCCATTCTCCGCGGCAGCGGAAGCGGCGGCGGAGAAGAAGAAGAAAATGCCCCGCTTCCTCCACCTCCACCTCTGCCTCCCCTGCATCATCAAAATCTCTTCATTCAAGAAGACGAAATGTATTCTTGGCTTCACCATTCTCACCGCCAAGATTATTTATGCTCCGAACTTCGCTACTCCGGCGTCGCCTCCAATCCGGCTACTCACCCGCAAAGTTCCATCTCTCCGGCACCATGTGCTTTTGCTCCATACGATCAGCGGGGTCAGACTATCGCCACGAGAAGGGTGGAGAACTTTATGAACTTCTCGTGGCTAAGAGGGAACATATTTACTGGCGGTAGAGTTGAAGCTGGACCGTCGATTTCGGTGGTGAGAGAATCGATGCAGTTGGGTTCGAGCACGACCCCTTCGTCTTCAGCCACTGAATCATGTGTAATACCGGCGACAGAAGGCACCGAGAGTCGAGTGTCACAAACTTTTGTAATTCCTGGTCTTGGTCAAAAGGGAAAGGCGGTGGCGATTGAAACGGCCGGAACACCATCTTCAGGAGTGTGCAAGGCCGAAACAGAGCCGGTTCAGATACAACCAGCAACCATTGTCGAAATCCAGGTGAGTCAGAGCTTCCATAGGTTAACCTACGCACCCATGTTAGTCACTTGACCCGTGCAGTTTAGTAGTCAAGGCTTTTTTTTTTTTTTTTTCGTGGTGTACAGGGAACTGAAGAAGCTCGTGGTTCAACGTCTAGGAAGAGGTCAAGAACTGCAGAAATGCATAATCTCGCCGAAAGGGTTCTTATATTTCCATTGGAATTTCAATATTTTGAGTTTCAACAATGGACTCTCTGTTTCATCTCCATTAAAACGTAGTTTTGTTTGTCAAACTTGTTTTTATTTAACAGAGACGGAGAGAAAAGATCAACGAGAATATAAAGACTCTGCAAGAACTCATTCCTCGCTGCAACAAGGTCTCTCACAATTTCTTAGAACTTGTTGGTATTAAACTTAAGCTTGATTCTGATTCTGTTTCTACTCTGATCAGTCTACTAAAGTTTCAACGCTGGATGATGCTATCGAGTACGTCAAATGGCTACAGAGCCAAATACAAGTATGCTCTTAAAAACAGAATGTGTTTTAAACCACTGGTTCAACATGGAAACAGTTCAGATGTATCTAGTTTTGCTGAGGTTATTAGAGTTATTTTTGGTGTCTATCAACCAGCGTCTCTGCAGAGTTTGATGTCTGCAGATTCATCTTCTTGGAAGGGTTATAAAGTTTCTTGGGGGATAAATGCAAATCTTATAAGTCTCTACTTCGAAACACTGGTACCTCGTTTAGATGGATGGCCTAATATCTGATTCCTCTTTTTAAACCCTGTCCTTGAGGTCTTACTCTTCTGTTTTACTTCCTAGTTTACAGGATTATGTAGAAGATATTTAATATCTGAATCGATGTTGTTATGTCAGATGATGTCGACGGGACAGGGTATGATGCCGCCAATGATGTATGCAGGGAATACGCAACAGTTCATGCCCCACATGGCCAATGATATGAACCGGCCTCCGCCATTCATACCTATCCCCGACACACCTTTTCCTAGGCCGGCGCAAATGGCGGGTGTAGATCCATCATATCCAGCACCGCGCTACCCTTTTTCCAGCATTCAAACCTTTGACCCATCCAGAGTCCATTTACGAAGTCCGCAGCCTAACCCGGTGTCGAACCAGCCACAGTTTCCGCCTTACATAAATCCCTATAGCCAGTTTGCTGGTCTCCACCAGTTGCAACAACCTCCTCCTCCTCCATTTCAGGTAACTCTTTCCCTCAGTATCCATTGCGTGTATTCCTCTGGTCCTACGTATGTATGGTGATGCTCACAAGATCCTTTTTAAAAAAATGTTCTTATAGAGTCAAACAACATCACAACTGAGTTCCGGGCAGGCAAGTAGTAGCAAGGAACCTGAGGATCAGGACAACCAACCAACAGGTTAGTAATTAAGAATCAATGAAGGGGTTTCTTGGGATATAAGTTAATGGCCAATTGTGTCGTTGCAGGTTAAAGTGTGGAGCTAAAAAGGATCAGTTCTCCAAGCAAATTACAATTTGAAGATAACATGTAGATTTTGTCTGTTAAGGTTAATGTTTATCCTGTTTATGTTAATGTCAGAAATTTTGAATCTAAATGGTCAATATATACAGGTTGCAAGGTGGTCAGAGGTATTTGTGCATCCACAACAGCATCACGCTTAAGATTCCTCGATGCGGTTATCTCCCTTTGCTAGCATGTGAGGTCCTTACTCTCTGGTTCCACGGTGACCAAATGTTCGAATAGGTTAAATCCACCCGTGAACTTCCGGCAGATTCCGCTTGTTCGAATTCGGTTACATCAAACAGAGTATACCCAACAAGAGACTAGTGTTTTGGTTACAATTTACAACAAGAGACTAGTGTTTTGGTTACAACACATGAATTAGCTACAAGCACACAAAGTTTTGTCACATGTTAGTCTTTTACTCGATCTTGTTCCTCTGTTACTCTTCGAAACAGAGTAATTGAACTATCTAAAATATTAACTTTAGATTCCATAAATTTTTGTAGAATATGTACGAGTATCTAATTCAATGTTTCCACAACATCTTCCATATCTACTCGTCATCATCACAAAAACACAGTAAACTACTCAAGAACCACAAACAAACTCATGAACCAAAACCGCATATGATCCCATCTAAATAGACTCTATAAATACAACATAAACCTCATTCATCAGCAAAGCCATAAACGTTGATGGACATTCACAAATTACAATGCGGTTCAACGTCATTCTTAAGATTAGTATTGAGATCAATTACCCAAAAACAAAGCACTGAGAAACAAAATTCAAAAAAGCTGAGTAATGCATTATCACATATATGGTTCAATCTCAATGTTTCACCTCCTAAAGTGTAATGGATCAGACAAGAAAGTTTCATCAACACAATGAGAAGATCAAAGAGAGCATTACAAAGATCTCTTACTCTATGGAACTAAGAACATAAAAGTCAAATGATCACAACAAGATAAGGCAAAACAAAATTGAATCAAATTCGAACCAAATACAAATGAAATCTGATAATCTCAACATAAAAAGCTGAAAATAAGAGTCAATTAAAGAAATATCTACTATAGAAAAAAGTATTATCTGAAGAAAAAAGTATTATCCAACAAAAAAAAACAATAGAAATAATACAAAAAAAAACAATAGAAATAATACAAAGACGCAAGAGGAGCAATATGACTTTGTATCGATATTTGTAGAGAGGATGGCATAACCGCATAAGAAGAAGTCTGTTTGTTTCCTCAGGTTAATCTCATCATTATATATTCGGAATGTTTTGTTTCTCACGGAACTCTTAGCACAAAATTCTGAAATAATCAGAAGACTGTAGAACTCAAAGAATGTGACCAACCACTAAAGGCCAAAACAACATTATAAAAACTAGGTTTCAAACTCGCAAATGAACCAGGTTTTTTTCTGCTCTCTGGTAAACGACAGAAACAGCGACGACGGTTGTTATTTTTTACTTCTTTTACAAATTTCCATTACATGTGTTTCTTCTGGTCTTCTCTGTGGATTTTTTTTGTCTCAAGCTATATAAGCTTCCCTACTTTGAAACCGACGATGATTATATATATTATCCCTAATTCTTCTTTTTCTACTTGTATTTATTCCTCTTCCTTGATCTTTCTAAAGCATCCACATCCATCATGTAAGTTCCTTTCGAATTTTTTATTTCTCTTACTCGCAAGTTTTATCTTCTCATGTTTGGTTTTGGTTTTGGTTTGAGATTAGGGGTGAAGATGATATAGTGGAACTCTTATGGAAGAGCGGCCAACTCGTTCGAACCACCCAAACACAAAGACCTTCCTCCGATAAACCCTCTTCTCCTCCACCCATTCTCCGCGGTAGCGGAAGCGGCGGGGGAGAAGAAAAGGCTCCACTTCCGCTTCCGCTTCCGCTTCCACAGCCTCCATTTCCCCTGCATCATCAGAATCTCTTCATTCAGGAAGATGAATTGTCTTCCTGGCTTCACAATTTTTACCCCGGCGTCACGTCCACCCCGGCTACTCATCCCCAAAGTTCTGTCTCCCTGCCACCACCATCCAATGCTCCGTATATTTCCAGTTTTTTTCTTCATTCTCTTGCTTTCTGCAATTTGATGAGTCTGATATTAGAGTTTGGATTTTGGATTGAAATTAGGGGTGAAGATGATGTGGTGGAGCTCTTATGGAAAAGCAGCCAAGTCGTTCAAAGCAGCCAGACACAGAGATCCATTCCTCCTCCCATTTTCCGCGGCAGCGGTGAAGAAACTGCTCTCCCTCCGCCTCCCCTGCATCCGTCTCAGCAGAATCTCTTTATCCAGGAAGACGAAATGGCGTCTTGGCTTTACCATCCTCTCCGCCAAGATTATCTTTCCTCCGGCGTCACTTCTACTCCGGCTATTCACCGACAAAGTTCCGTCTCTCTGGCACCACCACCACCCAGTGCTCCGTACGGTCTGATTACCGCTGCCAGAAGGACAGAGAATTTTATGAACTTCTTGAGGCTTAGAGGGAACATACTTACCGGCGGTAGAGTTGAAGCTGGGCCGGTGGTGATAGAATCGACGCAGGTAGGCTCAAGCGCGACCCCGTCGTCTTCAGCCACTGAATCCTGTGTAATTACAGCGACTCACGCCACCGAGAGTCGAGCGGCGGTCTTTGGCGGAGTATCCAGTACTTTTGCAGTTCCCGGTCTTGGTCGGAGGGGAATGGCGGTGGCGATCGAGACGGCCGGAACATCATCTTCGGGGGTATGCAAAGCCGAAACAGAGCCGGTTCAAATACAACCGGAGACTGAGACGGAAATTTCCGAAGACAGGAAGCGAAAGGAGAGAGAAGAAACCATTTTCGAAATCCAGGTGAGTCAGAGATCCCATAGGTTAACCTACGCACCCATGCCGGCGCGTGTTAGTCACTTAACCCAGAAGGTCGAGACTTATTTTTGTTTGCTTTGTGTTGTGGCGTACAGGGAACTGAAGAAGCTCGTGGTTCAACGTCTAGGAAGAGGTCACGAGCTGCAGAAATGCATAACCTCGCCGAAAGGGTTCTTACATTTCATTTCTTGGTTTCAAAAATGGACTCTCTGTTTCATCTCCATTAAAACGTGTTTTTTTTTTGTTAACAGAGAAGGAGAGAAAAGATCAACGAGAATATAAAGACTCTGCAAGAACTCATTCCTCGCTGCAACAAGGTCTCTCACAGTTTCACATAACTTGTTGTTATTAAACTTACGGTTGATTCTGGTTCTGTTTCTACTCTGATCAGTCTACTAAAGTTTCAACGCTGGAAGATGTTATCGAGTACATGAAATCACTACAGATGCAAATACAGGTACAGTATGTCTTAAAACAGAATCTGTGTAAAAGCAAACACAACCAGAAAGTGCTGTGGAATGGTTGGACATGAAGATAGTTTAGATGAATCTGATTTTATGGGTTATTAGAGGTTTTTTTTAATACTTTTTGTTTGTCAACCATTTAGATTTGATGTCTGCAGATTCATCTTCTTGGAAGGGTTTTAAAGTGTCATGGAAGATAAATGCAAATATTATAAGTCTATGGGTACCTCGCTTAGATGGTTGGCCTAATATATTGCTGATTCCTCTTAATTATTATGCCATGTTCTTGAGGTCTTACTCTTCTCACGTTTACAGGATCATGACTGAAATTTTAATACATGAATCAATGTTGTTATGCCAGATGATGTCGATGGGTCATGGTATGATGCCACCGATGATGAATGCGGAGAATATGCAACAGTTCATGCCCCACATGGCGATGGGGATGAACCGGCCTTTGCCATTCATACATTACCCCGGAACAGCTTTTCCTAGGCCGGGTCATATGGCAGGTGTAGGTCCATCATATCCAGCATTGCGCTACCCTTTTCCAAACACACAAGCTTCTGACCCACCCAGAGTCCAATTCCCAAGTCTGCAGCCTGATAACCCGGTGCCAAACCAGCCTCGATTTCCGGCTTACATGAATCCCTACAGCCAGTTTGTTGGTCTACACCAGATGCAACAACCTCCTCCTCCATTGCAGGTTATTCTTTCCTAGTATCCCATTGTGCTTATTCCTCTGTTCCTAAAAAAGACGATGCTCACAAGATCCTTTTTAAAAAATGTTCTTATAGAGTCAAACAACATCACAGCTGAGTTTCGGCCAAGCAAGTAGTAGCAAAGGACCTGAGGATAACCAACCAACAGGTTAGTAAGAAACAGGGATTGAAGAGTTTTCTTGCGATATAAGTTAATGGTCAAGATTCTGACAGATGCATATCTCCATTGTGTTGTTGCAGGTTGATGTAGTGGAGTTAAAAAGGATCTGCTCTCCAAGAAAATCACAATTTTGAAGGCGCTAACATGTAAATGTTATGTCTGTTTAAGGTTAAAGTAGGTCCCTTTTCCATTTTCTGTAAATGTTAGAACCTGGAATCTAGGGGGTCAATGTAAACAGGCAGGTGGGCCGGAGAAGAGAGATGTTAGTGCATCCATCACAGCATCACACCTAATTTCCCTTTACTAGCATGTGAAGTCCTTACTCTCTCGTTCCACGGTGACCAAACTGTTCGACTAATTAAACACACAATGGCTTAGCAAAAGTACTTTTGTTTAAACACATAAAAGAAACTATGATTCCAACAAAGAAAAAAAAAGAGAGTAATGAAAAGTATCAGGTCAAGAACATTTAATTCTGAGCCGTCTTGACTGACCAACATGTCTGAGCCAAAATGACTAAATACATTTATTGATATTGTAAAGAGGATGGCGTAAGAAGAAGTCTGTTTGTTTCCTAAGGTTGATACAAAAGTCTCACTATTACATTTTCCGGTGATTTTTGTTTACACGTACATGTGGAGCCATGAGTGAGACCAAAGTGGACTGTTGACGTCATTCGCGGAATATACCAAAAGTCATAGCACGCACAAAAACGCTCATGTCCAGGGGGGGAGAGAGAGAGAGAGCTTATCTAGCACAAAATCAGAGAGAATCTAGACACATATGGAGAAAGAATAAAAATTTAAAGGAACTCGCAAATCAATGAATGTGCATGTTTTTTTCTGGCTCTGGGTGGTTCCTTTGGAGGTTACTAGGTAAAGGACATATGTTTCTTTTTTCTTTCTTTCACAAATATCTGCTTTTTCTCCTGATAAAAGGTACAATTCACAAGTTTCCAATATATGTTTTGAGGGTTCTCTCAGAAATTCTGTTTCTTTTGTCTCAAGATATGAATCATTTTCGTTCAAGACTTCAACTTCAAAACCTATGATGATTATAGCATCACAGATTCTACTCTTTTTTCTTCTATTTCTTCCTCCTCCTTGATCATCCCAGAAAGTCTCATCCATCATGTAAGTTTCGTTACTTGCAAGTATTCTTTTTTCTCACTCTGCAATTCCATGAATCTTTTATTAGGTTTTGGGCTTTCGTTTGAAATTAGGGGTGAAGATGATATAGTGGAGCTCTTTTGGAAGATTGGCCAAGTCAGTAGCCAGACAGAGATACCCTCCTCCGATCCTACTCTCATTCTCCGCGGCAGCGGAAGTGGCGGCGGAGAAGAAAATGCTCCGCTTCCGCTTCCGCCTCCGCTTCCGCCTCCTCTGCCTCCAGTGCATCATCAGAATCTCTTCATCCAGGAAGACGATATGTCTTCTTGGATTCATCATCCTCTCCGTCAAGATTATTTATGCTCTAAAATCTATGCTTCCACTCCGGCTCCTCACCCGCAGAGTTCCGTCTCTCTGGCACCACCACCATCCAGCGCTCCCTACGGTCAGATTATTATCGCTCCAAGAAGGGAGGAGAATGTTATGAACTTCTTGAGGCTAAGAGGGAACATATTAACCGGCGGTAGTGTTGAAGCTGGACCATGGATTCCGGTGGGTTCAAGCACGACCACGTCCTTATCGGCCACTGAATCCAATCTAACACCAGCGACCGAGAGTCTAGCAACGGCCACTGTCGGAGTGTACCCCACTTTTGCAGTTCCCAGTCATGGTGGGACGGAAAAGGCTGCGGTGGCCATTCAGACGGTTTGCGAGATCGCCGGAACATCATCTTCAGGCGTTGAAACAGAGCCGGTCCGGATACAACCAGTGACGGAGACGGATATTGCCGATGGCAGGGAGCAAAAGGAGAGAGAAGAAACCATGGCCGGAATCCAGGTGAGTTACAGCTCCGAGAAGTTACCTGCGCACCCATGTCATCGTGTGTTAGTTACTTGACGCGTGCAGTTTAACCCTTTTCTTGTTTCGTGGCGTACAGGGAACTGAAGAAGCTCGTGGTTCAACATCTAGGAAGAGATCACGAGCTGCAGAAATGCATAACCTCGCCGAAAGGGTTCTTACATTTCCATTGGAGTTTCAAGATTCTGAGTTTCAACAATCGACTCTCTGTTTCATCTCATTAAAACGTAGTTTTGTTTGTCAAACTTGTTTTTTTTTAACAGAGAAGGAGAGAAAAGATTAACGAGAAGATAAAGACTCTGCAAGAACTCATTCCTCGCTGCAACAAGGTCTCTCACAGTTTCACATAACTTGTTGTTATTAAACTTAAGGTTGATTCTGATTCTGTTTCTACTCTGACCAGTCTACTAAAGTTTCAACGCTGGATGATGCTATCGAGTACGTGAAATCTCTAGAGATGAAAATACAGGTATGCTCCTCAATATCAGAATGTGTGTTAAAGCAAAACACAACTCGTAGAATGGTTGAACATGGAAATGGTCTATATGGATCTAATTTTACAGCCACTTTTAGATATGATGTCTGCAGATTCATCTTCCTGGAAGGTTTATAAAGTGTCATGGAAGATACCTCTTTTTAGATTTGATGTCTGCAGCATCTTCGTTTAGATGGGTGGCCTATTTGATGATTCCTCTTATTATGCCCTGTCCTTAAGGTCTTGCTCTTCTGTTTCTTGCAAGTCATGAATTTGTTTCCCAAGTTTACAGCATTATGTAGATGAATCTTCGGATCATGACTGAAGTTTTAATATCTGAATCGATGTTGTTATGCAAGATGATGTCAACGGGATGCAGTTCGATGCCGATGATGTATACGTCGAATATGCAACAGTTCAGGCCCCACATGGCCATGGGGATGAATCAGCCTCCTGCATTCATACCTTTCCCTAGGCAGGCTCATATGGCGGGTGTAGGTCCATCATATCCACCACCGCGCTACCCTTTTCCAAATATTCAGACCTTTGACCCATCCAGAGTTGGTTTACAAAGTCCGCAGCCTAATTCGGTGTCGAACCAACTTCAGATGAATCCTTATAGTCAGTTTGTTGGTCACCATCAGATGCAACAACCTCTTCCTCCTCCTTTGCAGGTAATTCTTCCCCAATATACATTGTACTTATTCCTTTGTTCCAACAAATGACGTTTCTCACAAGACCCATCCTCTTTTAAAAACGTTCTTATAGAGTCAAACAACATCACAGCTGAGTTTAGGCCAGGCAAGTAGTAGCAAGGTACCTACTGATCAGAACAACCAACCAACAGGTTAGAAAGAATCAAGGAATGGTTACAAGCTTTTCTTGAGTGATGAGATAATGGTCAAGATTTTGACAGACACATCTCTATTGTGTCGTTGCAGGTTGATGTTATGGAGTTTTAAAAAAGGGGATCAGTTCTCTATGCAAACACAATATTGAAGATAACCAAGGCGCTAACATGTATAATTTTTGGTCTGTTTAAGGTTAAGTAGGTCCAGTTTTAGTTGTTTTTTTTTTTTCTGTTTCAGTAAAATGTCATAAACTGGAATCTCGGGGGTCCATATATACAGTTTGCAAGGTAGGCCAGAGAAGAGATGTTTGTGTATATCATAAGTCGTTTTATAGCTGGTAAACATTTCTCTGAAACTACGTATCAAAAACACTAAGCAAGAATACTTCTGAAACTTATGTTCTGAAGCGACTACGCTCACTTCTCGTCATTACTCTTCGAAATGTTTGATAGAATCTGAAAGAAAAAAAAACAAAGTGGGAACCTTAGCGGAGGCTCTTTTGCTGGTCATGGATTGTTGCACGTTCTTGAAAAGAAGATAAAAGCTTTTAAGACGGTACCTTGTCTGTAAATTCGCGGAAAGCTTCTAATCCCATGGCTTCATCGAGTTCCTGATACATCCACAAATAGTTTCCTCAAATCTTGTCAAAAGAAATCAATAACAGCGATGAAAATATTGAATCACTGATGAATCCATGACGATGTAGATGAGCTTTACCTGTAAAGGGTTGGAAGAACTATCAATACTGTAGATGAGTTTCTGAAGAGCTTCATCCTTTAGAGCTTCTCGGATTTCACTAGAAGAAGCTGTAAAAAGTTTCCAGATTTAGAAATGGCCTACGAAGCTATAGACGTTTGTGATCCAATAACTTGAGAAAAGGTATCCAAAATTGTGAATTAGTCAATATGTAAGTTAGTTGGAAGAACATTACCGATAGCCTCGAAATGTGTCTTTTCTAAAACATACTTTTCCTCCTCTACATGTATCGGTCTTGCTACGGGTATTTCCTTTGCTGGAGATTCAGCTACAAGAAGCAGATTATGACTTAAACCCAGGTTCAAACATTTCTTGTCTGATGCCTAGCATCTCTGGCTACATCAGAGGTTTTGAAAATCAGACTAAGTTGGAAGAAGCGTACCACTAGCCTTGTGCTGTGTCTTCTCTACTACATCATTAGCTTCCTCAGGTCTTTCCACCGGGACTTCCTTTGCTGGTGGAACTTCCTTTGCTGGAGAAGCTGCTACAAAACCAGAGTATGACTCAAACCATGATTCACACTGAACAACTTACTAAAGTGAACAAACAGGATAAAATTCGATATGGTATACTATTAATCAAATCAAATAAACAGATATGAAAACCTAACAAAGGAACTAATCAAGAAACAATGAAAATACTAAATGCACTAACCTGGCTTATCCTCTGTTGAAGAAGGACCAGAAGGTTTAGCACATGGAGTCTCTGCATCATTGGTCATATTATACATAGTTAGAACCACGTCAACAAAAACCTAAAGTAAAATCAAGATTGTTGAGCTAAAAACTTCACTGAAAACAAAACAGATAAATAAAACAAATTTCCTCTACTTGGTTACAATCTCCAATGAAATTAGCAATGCAAAGGTCACGAGGTTGAAGCTAAGTAATAAAACGAGAGACACTCAACGAATTCAATTACAAAGTTGAAAACTTTAGGTCTCACTCAGAAACTAACATCAATCAAGGAGCTGATTCCAACTTCAAACGTTTACGAATTCATAAAGAAACCAAAAGAAATTACCTTTGTGAATCTTGAAACAACCCAATGAGCAGCTGCAGGCAAGCCACATAACCAAGTAAGAAACAATGACAAAGATGACTTAGATGAAACGAAAGATAACCTAAACATTCAAAACAGAGAGAGACGAAGAAGAAAGAAGAAGACTTACTAAGGAACAAGACAAGAAGGGCACTTGTATTTGGATACAAGCTTCTTGCAGATATCGCATGTTGGAGCAGCTCGAGGACACATCTCTTACTCTCTCAACGACCACAGCGATTCACAGGAACAGAGAAAACCTCAATGGGGTTTTACCTCTTCAGAGAGGAAAATAATGAAAGCCCAATGGGCCTAACAATTCCACTATCGGCTCTCTCTCTCTCTTTTTTTTTTTTTCCTAATTGCTTTTTGACTTGCTTTGTGAATTCTGCAGAATTCAGAAACGCCGGAGAAAAAGATGAAGCTGAAGCAATTAGAAGGCTTGTTGGGTGATCTTGAACAGTTCTCCAATCCTAAAGTATGCGAAAGAAAGATTATAACTTTGAATTCTAAGATTGTTTTTCTGGAAAATTCCTTGTTTGATTTTTTGTTTATTGTGTCGTAGGTGGAATTGGAGCAATACCCAACTGGTCCTCACATTGCTTCTCGTATGCTTTTCACTGTATAATCCTTCTTCCTCTGCTCCAAAGTTTATTACTTTTGTTAATTTCACGCTTTCTATGAAGTGGGTCTTCACTGTCTAATCTAGTGATAATCTCAATGTGTGGATGTCAGATTTCTTTACTCTGTGTTGTTATTTGGGGTGCTTGGTTTTGTTTCTGTTTTATTTGAAGAAGCCTGAAGTATGTGTGTTGATTCTGTATCCTTTGTTTAGGCAGAGAATTCATATGGAGATATAAGTGATAAGGTCGTTGCGGATTTTGGTTGTGGCTGTGGTACTTTAAGTGCTGCTGCTGCTCTTCTAGATGCAGCGTGAGTAAAATCATTTATACCTCACTCTTCTCTCATCAATGCATCTGTTCATTCTCTGTGGTTATCTAATCTCTTTATTGCTTCAAAACAGGTCTGTGATTGGATTTGATATTGACCCTGAGTCTCTTGAAACAGCAACACTAAATGCTGAGGAACTTGAGGTTTTTTCATGTAAATGAGTTTTCTTTTGGTTGTAGCAAATACCGTTGCTATAATTTGGTTAGTTTCGCAGGTCGAGATTGATTTCGTTCAGTGTGACATTACAAAGTTAGAGTTAAAAGGTTCAATCTCTTTTCATTTTTATTCATTCAACGAAAAGAAGAATCTACCAGTAACATTTTGTGTCTCCATGAATTGTTTTAGGCCAGATCGTGGATACGGTTGTGATGAACCCTCCATTTGGTACACGAAAGAAAGGAGCTGACATGGAGTTTCTCTCTGCGGCAATGAAGGTAAAAACACAGAAAAGAAAATCTCATTCTACTGTTTTTTGAATTTTCGTATCACTCGATTAAATGTTTTATATTCGATGTTTTGTTACGCAGGTCGCTTCAAAAGCAGTTTATTCCTTGCATAAGACATCTACCAGAGAAGTAAGCAAAGCCTTCCTTGTTTCTTACAATAACTACTTACTCTGCTCACGTTTAACTATGTATTTTGTTAGTAACAACCTTTACATTCTCGCAGCACATTAAAAGGGCGGCTTTGCGTGATTTCAATGCGAAAAGTGCTGAAGTTCTATGTGAGGTTGGGCTAAAAGATTTGAAAATTATCATATGAAACTCTGATGGAATGTGTCTGAACATTCTAACTTATTCATATTGTTCCCCGTGCAGCTCCGATATGACTTGCCTAAACTCTACAAGTTCCACAAGCGAAAAGAAGTCGATATTGCTGTTGATCTCTGGCGTTTTGAGCCTAGACAGAGCTAGACCGCCACAATCATGTAATGTTTAGCTTTGAGATAAGATTGATTATGTATGGAAGGATTCATGATATGATGAACTCAGGTTTTATAACCAACCTCGTCTTTATGAACAAAAATACACTACAAAAATGGGAAGATTTTCCTTTAATCTCAACAAGAACACTGTCCTCTGACAAAACATATTGCATATGCGTGTAGACAATTCAGATCTTAGACCACCACCAACCGGTTTAAGTCATTGTTTCAGCTGAGACATTTTCTTACCAATGGATTAGCCACTGCTTGCATTGCAAGATCATCTACCATTTCCTTGAATGTTCCACTTCTTCCGACAAAATCAGTGTCCACGCTCATTTCTATCAACACTTCATTCCGAGAATTGTGGATGTATGAACCGATTCTCCCTTCTGCTGTGATCCTGCTTGATGTTTTTTATCCGTCGTTGAAAGAACTTTCTTTCTAAGCTTTTCTTGTGCTTTCTCAACACCTCCTCCCGTCTCTGCCAATGCCATCTTGCAATCCATCATTGCGGCTCCTGTTTCTTTCACGTTGTTGCTTCACAAGAGTAGCCAAAAGCCCAAAAGCACTGCAGTTGCTACTGCCATTACCCGAAATCAGCCAATGAGGCATCCAAAATGGAAATGAGTTAATGGTTGTTTTGAAGGGAATCAAATATGTGGACTTTTAATCTCACAAACAAAGGAAATTTCTCAAACCACACTGTAGCAGTTGATGAACATGTACAATTGTATCATACAATCCTTAGCTGTGAATCTAGTGATCTAACCATGTTGGTATCGACATCAATGGCTTGAGATCAGATAAAGAAGCTTCTACAACAGTTTTTTTCAAAGATGATTACGTACTTTCAAGAGTTTGGCTATAAGTTTGAGTTTTAACTTGTGTCATTGTCTTGATCATAGCCTTCATAGGTTAAATACTTGAAGAAAAAGTTAATTGAAGTTCTTGTAGACATTCGATTCATAGTATACAATGGTGGTCACTTGTACCCGAATTAACTAAAATTATGTAAAACAAACCACAGTTTCAATAGTTGAACTGAAAAAGTGTTGAATGTTTAAAGTAGATGTCTTTGTAATAAGAGCTATTGTAATACTATTGATTAATTTACGATGTAGTTCAGTAATAATCTTGTCTTTTTGAACAAACTAAAAAATAAATAACTTGGTATTACTTTTTTTTTGATAATTAAAAAAATTTGGACCATTTCTCGATTTATGCGTGTCATCCTTGCGCAGGGGCCATGCTAATCTCCTCTGTATCGTTCCAATTTTATCGGATGTCCCCGAAGGGACAACTTGGTATTACTTACATTTGAAAATATATATATCTATATAAAAGGAATTATTGCACATTTAGGCACTTTCCTCAACTTATTTGTGCCTTTAGGCACTTTAAAAAAAGAAGGCACTTTGGATAAGTTATTTGACCAATTTACCCCCTAACTACATATCTTTTTCGTTACAATCTCTTTGTCCCTCTCCTTCTCCAATCTCTTCTCTCTCTCTTTCTCTCCTTTTCTCGCTTTATCGACAAATTGACAAAACTAAGCAGAGAAAAAAAGCCTTTCCCATGATATCTTTAATTTCAAATCTGTAATCAAAATTGTAACCATTTGGCAAGTTACGATTCATACGACTCACCATATCCACTCTACGCCATGGCTTTCTCTTCTCTCTGCACCAACACTTCCGATCACAGAATCGCCGTCGGAAGTTTCCTCAAAGATTACAACAACCGCGTCGACATTATCTCTTTCGATTCCGATTCCATGACTGTTAAGCCTCTCCCGAATCTGTAATTTCCGGCTATTTTACCCAATTTGATCGTAAAAATCAAATCTTTTAGGGCAATCTCAATATTCAAAATCAAAATCAAAATTGAATCTCTTAGGGTTTATCATCTCTCAACAATCTATTGCTTCTCTTCTTCTTCCTCTCTCGAGATTTTTTTCAAATATATTCTCAAATCCATCTGAAGAGGAGAACAAAGTAGACAGTGAAGAGAGAAACACGTTGAATTTTGTCTGGTTGAATTTTTGCAGCTTATTACGCCTTTTGTGGAGTTGGATATCAAGTACTTTGATCTTGATGCTACGGATGACAAAGTTACTATTGAAAGTGCTGAAGCTACTAAGAAGTATGTGTGTTTGAGCTTGAAATATACTGGAATGATGTTGCGTCTCTGTTATACTTGGTGTGAATTATTATGTTAATTTTTTTGTTTTAGGTACAATGTGGCGTTCAAGTGTGCCACCATCACTCCAGGTTTGTCTTGATAGATATTTTGCAGTTGATCATTTTTTTACCTGTGTTTTTATTTTACTGAGTATGTTATTTAACTTGTCGCTGCATCTGCGACCGTGGCGGAGCAAAACAACGGTGGCCACATCAATTAACAAACCACAACGACAGAGATGGAACAGACGAAGGTATCAGTGGAAAAGAAGAGGTGTCGCTACATTTGTCGGAGGAGTCGCTATGAGAAGATTATGTATCCTAGGTTTTAACTAAGTGTCTGATTACTAACTTCCTTTTTGGTTAACTAACAGAAAACGGAAGCTACACAGAGATGGAACATAATCACTTGAGATGATTGTAGTTTAGAAATTATATTCGTGTAATATTGATTATATGGGCCTTAAATGGATAAGATCATACATATACAATAACTTTGGTGTAGAATGGATATGGTTCAGTAAAAAGGTTTCCGTATGGAAACATATATATGGACTCGTTATTATGGACACCCAAAAATTTTTGTTGATTTTTCTTTCAATTTGGAGAGATCTCCATTCTCCACCTTCAAGACAATATATTGATGCCACGAGAATATGACCACATGAACATTGAACTTTGGTTTCTTTACAAACCAACAAAAAAAGGATAGCAACTAATGAAAGAGGGCTTACTTGATTTTCTTTTATTCATGCCTAATTCCCTAGCACTCGCTCTCTGATGAATCAATATGTTGACATATGTTAGAAGTTGACTTCATTACAATATGTTTATATTGTTGACGAAGTTAGATATCGGTTTGGGTTTACTAGGTAGGGGGTAGGGTTTAGTGTTAAATATTTAAAGAAGTTAAATATCGGTTTGGTTTAGTAGGTAGGGGGTAGGGTTTAGTGTTATATATTTAAAGAAGCTCTACACATGAATCATTTGTATTCAAGTGTTTGTCATGTTTCACCATTACTCCAATTGGTCAAGTCTAAATGGACAAGTTAACATGGACCCAAACTATCATTAACTACTTGGGTTTTGAGTGTTTCTATTTGAAAGCAATGTCTACGGATTGTTCTTGGGGTTTGGAGACCTATAGGATTATTAGTTTATACATAATGAAATCGTGTTGGAAGCTTTTACAGTTTGTCTCCATGAAAACTTGTCCAATTAGACGTGACCATATGGAAATAACTGATTCTCATATGCGAAGTGGTATATTTTTAAAAAGTTAAATATCAGTTTGGGTTTAGTAGGTAAGGAGTAGGGTTTAGTTTTATATATTTAAAAAAATTAAATATCAGTTTGGGTTTATATTGTTGACGAAGTTAGATTTCGGTTTGGGTTTAGTATGTAGGGGGTAGGGTATAATGTTATATATTTAAAAGAAGTTAAACATCGGTTTGGGTTTATATTGTTGACGAAGTTAGATATCGGTTTGGGTTTACTAGGTAGGGGGTAGGGTTTAGTGTTATTTATTTAAAAGAAGTTAAATATTGGTTTAGGTTTAGTAGGTAGGGGGTATAGTTTAGTGTTAAACCTTTAAACCGAATTTTCATCTCGTTTTAGGTTTATATTGTTGACGAAGTCATTTGTCGGTTAGGGTTTACTAGGTAGGGAGTAGGGTTTAGTGTTATATATTTAAAAGAAGTTAAATATTGGTTTGGGTTTAGTAGGTAGGGGTAGGGTTTAGTGTTATATATTTAAAATAAGTTAAGTATCGGTTTGGGTTTAGTTGGTAGGGGGTATGGTTTAGTGTTATATAGTTTTTCACCGCTATACAGCCACCGTTCTGTAGCCACCGCTTCGTAGCGACAACATCGTTGCCACCGCTTTGCATCAATTGTTCTGTAACCAACGCTTCACATCCACAACATCGTAGCAAAACCATTGCATATAGCTTGTTTTTGGGATCCTAGACTTGCTTTTCCAATTTTTCACCTATTACTCTTAACCAATAAATTCACAAATCTCACCATAACAATCTCACCTTCCATTGATGGATTTACACAGCTTCAATCATTTCAATCTCATAACATGATTATAATGAAACGAGATTGACTATTGACGATTGTGTATTTATGAAACCTTGGCACCGGTGAAGAGATTAGTCCCTTGAACTTGTGCTCATTTATGCTATATCTTGAGATGTTTGGTAATTAAAATCAAACTTGGACTTGTATTTAGAACTTCAAAATCCAATCGAGAAGATCTAAAAAAAGTATTATGTTTAGTTTGTGTAAACATCTGTCTTGGTATGAAACGACGACCATGTGAGTCACAAGATGACCATATGGATTGCACAGCTTGGACAAACATCAATAAACAACGTATATGGTATGGATCCATTTTATAATGATGGTAGTGTCCACTCACAAGTGAATATTGGTCAAAGAAAAATGGATGGTGTACTTTTAGTTGCCGATTATCGTTCATGTATAAATTTGTGTATTGATATGAAACGACCATGTGAGTTATTAGATGACCATTAGGACTTGACTCCTTGGACACTCATCAATGGAAGTTAGATTTCGGTTTGGGTTTAGTAGGTAGGGAGTAGGGTTTAGTGTTATATATTTTTAAAAAATTAAATATCAGTTTGGGTTTATATTGTTGACGAAGTTAGATTTCAGTTTGGGTTTAGTATGTAGGGGGTAGGGTATAGTGTTATATATTTAAAAGAAGTTAAACATCGGTTTGAGTTTATATTGTTGACGAAGTTAGATATCGGTTTGGGTTTACTAGGTAGGGGGTAGGGTTTAGTGTTATATATTTAAAAGAAGTTAAATATTGGTTTAGGTTTAGTAGGTAGGGGGTAGGGTTTAGTGTTAAACCTTTAAACCGAATTTTCATCTCGTTTTAGGTTTATATTGTTGACGAAGTCATTTGTCGGTTAGGGTTTACTAGGTAGGGAGTAGGGTTTAGTGTTATATATTTAAAAGAAGTTAAATATTGGTTTGGGTTTAGTAGGTAGGGGGTAGGGTTTAGTGTTATATATTTAAAATAAGTTAAATATTGGTTTGAGTTTAGTTGGTAGGGGGTAGGGTTTAGTGTTATATAGTTATTCACCGCTTTACAGCCACCGTTCTGTAGCCACCGCTTCGTAGCGACAACATCGTTGCCACCGCTTTGCATCAATTGTTCTGTAACCAACGCTTCACATCCACAACATCGTAGCAAAACCATTGCATATAGCTTGTTTTTGGGATCCTAGACTTGCTTTTCCAATTTTTCACAGATTACTCTTAACCAATAAATTCACAAATCTCCCCATAACAATCCATAATGCACAATCCATGATGCGTCATCCATAATGTGCCATCCATAATGCACATCACCAATAACAAAAGCAGTCAGAGTTACAAACACACCCTCATCCACCAATGGAGATTTACCAAACACATCCATCAATGTTCGATGTATCAACATAATATAATGAGACCGATTAGACCCGTACTTTTACGTTTAGAGGAACATCAAAGCTCAATCAGATTTTAATTAATTCTCATATTCAGATTTGATAAAGAATTTAGAGTACGAAATACAAGGCGATACAACTCGGAGATCTCATGAATTCTATCGAAGTGCACAAAAATCACTATTCAAATAAAGTCATCATCTTCCAAAGTCGTTCTTCTCAAACAATTGGTCAACATGAGATCGACAAGATATGATGGATGCTTATATATGGATAAAGTTGCTAAACTTCGAGTCAAAACACAATTTCGCTAATATTAGTAAGATCTTTACACATTCCAAAGAAACCAAGATAGATCAAGCATTAGTAAACGAACCTTCTTATTCTGGCTTCGATGATGGCAACGAACCTTATTTTTCTTCACCGCTTGTAACAGAAAACGGCAATATAAATGTTCATATCACGTAAGCTTCAATAGGAAGTGTTACTCAAAAAAGTAAAGGTGCCAACACGATTTAATTATGTAGGAACTAAATATAATTCTAAAGGTCTCCAAAACCCAAGAACAATCTCTTACAAGTAGAGTATATACAACACTCAGAAATTGATTCCCATCAACAAAGGCTAATTTTCTTAGCTTAGATGTCCAACAAAGCATAAATTTACCAAGATAGAATCACTCTCGTAGATTTTCTTCCATCAATCGCTTTCACCTTCTTAATCAGATTCTCTGTCTTGTACCTTCCTCCAAACGCCGAAGCTACCGTTTCCCATCGCCCAGGCTTACGAGCTGGATGCAACTGTTTCTTCAAAATATCGATTTCTTCCGCAAGTCCAATCTTTAGTTTCATTCACAGATCCACTCTCTTTAGACTTTGTAATCACCACTTCTTCGAAATATCCATCACCGTAGAAGCATTTTCCGGCGGATTATCGTTCTTCGTCGTCGCTTTAGATCGTTTATTCACCGATTTCCTCCTGGCTTCACGTTCGTTATCCGTCGATGACTCATCGTAAATCTGCTCTGGCTCCATGATCTGACCATAACCGACAGAAATCTTACCTCCGGTGAGCGAACTAGGACCGATAGGACCGACGAGGAAGAGAGGGAAGGACATGAGAGGAACAAACTCTTCATCAATTTGTCGTCATCAACGACGCCGTGCTCATTAGATCTCGATAATGCAAGGCCAAGGGAGAAAAAATGAAAATTTGAGAACGTAAATGGGAGATTTAAATAAATATAGTGAGAAGTGGGAACAAATACCTTCATGGCTATCGCCATTGTTGTGTTAGAGGGAGAAAGAATTGGCTCTTTTTAGAGAGAGACTTCTTAGACATCTCTTTCTCCAACATCTCTCTGCTTCTTTTTCAACAACGATGGATTCCAGGAGGTACGATTTTCATGGAATGAGAGACGATAGTGGATCTGAGAGCAAGGGAGGAACAGATCGTCGATGACGACGCCGACGCCGTTCTCACGTCGATGACACTTTTTTTTCTTCAGATCTATAACATAAAAGAACAAAATTCTATTTATTTGCTTTAATCTTAGCCACAGATCTTAATATTTATTTTTCAATCCAATGGTCTATATTAAAAACAACTTAACTAAACTAGTTTGTTTTTTAATTGTTTGGTTGAAAAACAACTGATGACATAGGTTTAGTAAATGATTCTCTCATCCACTTAAGGGGTAAAAAAGTCCAATTTTCCTTCAAAAAGATGGGAAAGTGCCTTCTCCCTCAGAAGTGCCTAAAATGTAAGAACTTTCATGAAAAGTGCCTTAACATGCAAATCACCCTATATAAAATAATAGAAGGAACAGCATGGATGCCAACTGAATTAATAAATAAAATAAAATCAGCCAATGGATCAAATCTGTACTGTCTAAAAGATTGTTACAAGTAATCATTCAGAAAGGAGAGAAGAAAAAGTTGGAAAGGTATTACACTATTATTTAATTTGAATGGTTGATGGTGAAGGAAGCTTCATCGAACAAATACTCCTTAGTCCTTAATCCATTTGCTTAGAGCTAATAAAGATTCAGCATCAACCGATTCTCAATGATTTAATTATATCTTCTCCCACGTGGGACGAACAAACATTTCGTACCCTTATCGACTACATACTCATTTTAATACTATACACTAAACAAAAATTAACCGAAACTAGTCTTACTTTGGCAATTATATTTCGTAATTAATATATAAGTTACTAGATGGATTTCTCGTATTAGCCAAAAAGTACATTTTGTTGGACATAATCACCAAATGTCAATAATTGTAAATTTTATAAAATACTTTTATTTGGTTGAATTATACGACTCTTGTCCCCCTTTTCATGAACGATTTCTTTAAGCATGATTCGTCTTTATTTGGTCTTATTCATGATCAAGAAGTGTATATATATATCATATCTAACAACTTGTTACATAAAATGAAGCTCCCACATGTATTGAGCATATGTATAATTGTGTTATCCGACGGAAGAAACAATGCCATTTGATTTAAGAAGAACAATATCATAAAACAATACATTATATATATAATAGGGATTCTATATAATATGAGTCAAATAATTTAGGCTTAACCTTAAAAACAAACCAACATGTCCATAAGCCCATATCCAAGGATAGATCATGCAAGACAACTAGCTAGGGATGTCGTCTTAGCCAAGAATTTTCATTTTAGTTTATTTCAGATATGCTTTTGACGAGAGAGAATGATCCAACCAAATTTGCAATAATAATTTTTTCTCCAATTTATTTATAGGCATATTTTTAATTAATAAATAAATTTTGGAGGCTACGACTTCGATAATTTTTATTATACAACTTCGAGATATTTGCATATATAGTGTTTCTGAGTAAACTATAGTAGTATATTACAAGAACTACTAAAACGAATAATAAATTTGTGAAAAATGAATGTTGTCGAACACTCAACTCTTTAAAATGACTAACCAATAATTTTGAGAATATTGTACAAGATTGCGCTCTTTATGGAGTAGAAAATGTATTATTCCTATTTAAAAACATGATTTATTCACCGGTGTGAGTGTGACACCAATTATCAATCTTGACATATATAAATAACTTGCGTAAAAGTATATGGTCAACTTGTGATCATTTAAAAATAGTTCGAGTTAAAACGAAATCAATGTAAATAAACTATAGTATATATTAACGAGATGATCATGGAGACAAATCATATCATTATACATATATAATATAATAGATAATCTAAAGTGAGTTTGGTAACCACTACAAGGTGGGCTAGTGGTAGGACGGATTTCGTGGTTGAGGGGATAATCCCAATACGCCCGGGTTCGATTCCCCCTTGCTACATACTAGTGGCCACCAGAGAATTTACATGCGGACTTGCTCTGGCGCCCGAGACCGAAGACCGTTACCCGGCCATGACCCACCTTTGGGTGTGCGTCCGTGCCGTAAGGGTTCGGTCTCTAGTCTGGACCACCTCGGTGGGGCCAGGACACTCGGTTATCAAAAAAAAAAAAAAAAAAAAAGTGAGTTTGGTAGACAACTAGATAGAGATGACCTTGGAAACTGCGATATCAGCTTCCTGAATCTCTGAAGCCCTTGCATGTGGAGAGATGCTCTTCCTTTTGTCAAACACTTCACTTTTTTTTTTCTCTATTTCCCTAAGCTTAATTTAATAATCAAAACCTTTTTACCTCCACAAGTTAAATAAGTACAGTTTGTATAATACTTATAAGATCTTTAGATGTGAACACTTGACTCTTTTTGTAATGTATGTGGTGCTTGATCTAGAGCAATAAGTCAACAAAATTTTAACTTGTCAAACATTTACATGAATACGATATTGGATGCTTCATTTCTGTTAGGTTCAATTAAAATCGATCTTTATTATTCGTTAAACGGTTTAAAATCAATCATATATGCCACCACACATATATTTTTCCTTTTTATTGTCATCCATTATTTTCTTCCTTATCACTGTTGACATTTGTGTAAAGTGTAAACCAGAACTCCGACGTGATTAAGTTGTCAAATTGTATGTATAATATGCACGTACGTCCGCATGACATTCTGCAAAATCACAACGAAAACCAGGATAAAAATAATTGCCAGAAAAATACATCACATGTGTATGAAATCTTCAGAACATTTTATTTCTATTTTTTAATTGTTGTTGAAATTTGAACAGCCAGTTGGTTTTGGTACATTATGCATGTGTATTTATGTGACCAGGATCTCCTATGTCAAAAAAAAAAAAAAAAATGCGACCAGGATCTTCAACTGAAGCCAAATTAATGAGAAATTGGATATACCTTAATACCTTATTATCTTCAACTGAGAATTATAAATTAATTTATAATTAATGTGACTAAACCTTTTTCAAAAAAAAAAAAAATTACTGCAAAAAATATGCTTTAAGCAGTAATACATTTTTTTTTGACATCAAGCAGTAATAATTATTTGTGACAAAAATAGAAAGAAAATAAGCCCATGCGTCCATGATCCTGTCACTTGGCTCTTGCTCACGTACAGATATATACAGGAGGGAATACATTTTTAATAAATGACCGTTGCAGGAAGACTGAAGACATGAAAGTTTGGGATATAGAACTCAGTCACATACCTAAATATATATAGACCAAGATTTTTCTTTTTCTTTTTCCCTTGGATAAATAGACCAAGAAAACTTAACACTTACACATCTATATTGGTTACAGACTTACAGTATAATTTAGGTTACCGTATGATTTCTCTTTTAACCACAAATCATAAATCCGATTACTTAAGTGCTCAGATATAGGTATTTCCGACATTGATGGTATTATATTATAGTCTTATACATTCAGTGAAATCCGGTTTTGATTCTTTTGATACACATAATAGAGTTTTTAGATTCTCATGTGCTTATTCATCATGTATAGTCTTTACAAATATATTTGGGCGTATTACAGTTTTTTATTTATTTATGAAGAAAACATTTTAGACGTGGTACAAGCAAACTGAAAATAAATACTAATCAAGCTCTAGAACTTAGGAAATTTTAGGTACCAAAAGTTCTGATGGGATTTTCCAACTAATATTTTAACTAACAAAACATTAAGAAAAATAACCTGCTTTGGTCTCTGACCTACTAAATTTTGCGGATATATTTTTAAAAAATGTTTGAAAAGAAAAAATGAGGTTTATTGGACTTAATGATATGTTAATCACTACGACTACAGCTGCTACCTTATTTTGTTACGTTTAGTGATTAGCAAAGGAGCTTAAAGCCTTAAAAAAATTAGTCTCAAATTAGTAATTCATGCTTGAGAAATATTTTTCAAATACACTCTTACTTACATCTTAATAAAATCATTATCTATGGTTCATACTATTCAAACTTTTATCTTATTTTTAGATTGTTTGTTACTTTTCTTTTGCTTGGTTCGTTTGTCTGCTTTGCATGTTAGTATTTGTTAAGTTTGATCATCTTGTTTGATTGTTCGCTGTATATAGACTTTAAAAATGAAACGAAAACGTCCAAAACCCAACTACAAAATTTCTCCTTAGTTTAATCCAGTTCTCGCCTCTCTGGTATGTAGCAAACGTACTGGTCTCTGAGTTTGATATGCTTTATAATACCATCAATTTTATCTTATATATATATATATATATTCATAAAAAGTATTATTAGAAACTAAAATTCGACCACATCAATATTTTACTGTAATGGAAAATATCAAATCAATATGAAAATAGAATAACTAATGATTATGATTAAAAAAATTTGAACTTTATGTTTGATTGGTTGTCAAGGTAAGTGAGAGGATCAATAAGATTTGATTCGAATTCATATTTTATAAAAAGTATTTAAAATAATAATATGACAACATTTAAAGAAACATACATAAAGAGATAGACACTACATTAGTAGTGTAGCAGGGAAATGCATGTGCACAAAATCTACGGTAGATATTAGTTAATGGATTTTAAACAAGTTTGGGTGTATAGATTACTCCACTATGCTTTATGGTATTAGGCTACTATAATATAGTGTAATTTAGTGATTTATATTAATGTCGTCACTGTATAACTATATAAGTTCAAATACATATTTTTGTAACTTTTAGATATCAAAATTTATGCTAGTAAATGAAAAGATTAAAAAAAAACAAAAAACTAATTTGATATGTTCTACGACTC